ATGTGTCACGCCGCGGTGGAATCAGGTGCTCGTCAATTTTTGGGCATCTGGAGTTATTGGTACGGTATCATCGGAGTAAGTTAAAGTTTGTTCATTAGAAAAATACACGCCTATCTTGAATAGAAATAGAGGTATTTAAGATTGAAGGGGGTCGGGGTCGCCCGGTTTTAGAGGTAAAAATAGTAAAATTAGCGAGAAAATAGCTGCCAAAGTTTGGAGATTTCCAAAGCTTGAGAGGCTCTGGAAACTGAAAATTTACATTCGTTGTGCCTTTAATCAAGGTTTTTAAGTAAACTCCACACAGAAAATTGTTTTTTTTATGAACATAAAAGGCGTAGATTCAAAAGTTCAAAATTCGACAAAAATTGCCGAAAGGGAAGAAACATGCCGTTTTCTTCGAATTCATTATTTTGACGAGTGCCTGATTTCACGACGATGTCTCACAAATGGTCTTAATTGTGTTGACTGGTGCCAGAAAGAGGCCTCACCAAGTCTTAGGAAGAGGGAAAACCTAAGCAACAACAGTTTGACAGGACAAGAGAAAGAGAGTAGAGAGTCTGTGCAATTACTCTCATTTTCACTTTCAGTCATATAACAATAATGAAAAATACATGTAGTGTAGGCTGTACTGAATTTAAAAGAGGGAAAACATTGGTATACTGATAAGGCATTTTAATCATTTTCATTGAACCACTTTGTGATATATATAACTCACAATTACAATGAGAATCAAAATCATCAGAAAAAAATGAAACGCAATAAATCAATAAAGGGCACTGAAACCTTTTTCTCTCTCCATAATTAGGCCAATTAGGGCACCAACTAATAATTCATATAAGAACAGGTAGGCCTACACATACACTTTAAATCTAAGGTAGGCCAACCTCAACTACCTGTAATTGTATGGGTTTAACTCTTTCCATGGGCAATTATTTTATCACTTAAACTTATGTACACAGTACACATAGCCTACTATGTGGACTGGTGGCACAGTGTATGGCAAGCGAAAATGGAAAGAGTTAATACTCCTTTCGTCACTGTAACAAGTGTGTAAGGTCATTTAATAATGAGAGGCAGAAAAAAAGATGCCAGTCTGACAATTGTTAGATGGTCCACTCCTCGTCTACCGGTACCACAATGAACAACCCATACCGTAACCATCTGTAACAGCACACGACTGTCAACTGGACTGGCATTGGAGAACTTACATGATCTCCGAGAAACAAGAAACTGTCTACATCATACAGGGGCCATTCAGTCGGTGGCTCCAAAAACACAAAAACAGGACCAACAGAAGCCAAAACAAAGGGTGAAAGTATCAGTACCTTATTATCAGTAACACTAATTATACTACGTGACATTGTACAGAAAATAGCATTTGTCATTCACACACAAAAATACAATAAAATCTAGGTCTCTGATGTGATTATACAGCTGTTTTCCATTATATTATACTGATAATGCTTACTATTATTGAAAGTTGAAGCTGCTCCCTCACCCCCAGAAAAAGTTTCAATCATTTTCGTAGAGGAAGGAGAAACAGCACAGTATAAGTAATGGAACAACACTGAAAAATTATATATATTTACATTGATGTACAGGCAGTGAACCAGAGGTAATTAATATTATTTATAACATGTACCCAACACTCACCCCTGAATTAATGCTGGTCAAGTATTAACAGGACGAACATTATCCATATTATAGATCTATCGTAATATAATACCGCAGCATCACAGAAACAAGATAAATCAAGGTTCCTACTCAAAACTTTAGTGATTGGAGTTAGACAGAAAAGGGCTTCAAATTCAAAGGGACCTCCCACTGTACTCTCTTTACAGCATGAGACATTAAAAGTTGAATGTCATATTCCTTTATTTTCTGAGCTGTATATAAAAAAAAAGTCCCCAATGTTGTTCTTTGACTTCACAGTAAGCCTAGATCTATAGTATGATTAAGACCTATAGTGTGAGAAAACCTTTGCAGATAAAAATATCCTAAAAGTAAAAGTGAGAGCCACTGAAAACTGAGAATACAAAACTTTGCTATTCTTGGGTTGTGAATTATTTTCTCAAAAATAGAGAAAGAACATGATCTTTTATTTTAAATGGGAGGAGTAAATTCATGAAAAAGCAACTTTTACATAATACATGATGACGATGTACAGTGGAGTCCGCTTAGACCCAAACCACTCAACTAGTTAAACAGAAAAAAATAATAATTGGGGACTTTATTTTCTTTCTGTTTACATCTGTTTTCGGATTAACTGTGTTTCGTTTATGAAGACTCCACTGTACATGTATAAAACTTTGAAAATATGACATAAAAATATAACTAAATTAATAAGCTGTATCGTTACCATTCAATCTGTACTGTCGTAAAAATTGACAACACTGCTTGAACATAAAACCATAAAAAGAGAGAAAAATAGAAACTCTGTCAACCATGTAAAACACATAAACACTGAAAAACCCAAAATGTCATGAACACGTTAATATTGTAAGTAAATGGATGTCTGTGGTGTAGCAGTAAGGCATTTTTAACTGTCGCATGCAGGAAACTGAGTTGGACTCCGGACAGGAATTTTTTTTTAGAGTACCTCAGTCTTTCAGCTGGGATGTTGTATCCCTCTCAACTAGGGTAGAGCTGGCCTCCTTTATGATCTAAATTGTTTCAATGGGGACGTATAACAGTAATAACACCTATATTATATTTTTTTAAAACCCACAACAACCCAAAAATATATGTATAAAGTTACAATAAATAAGCTGTGGTCTGCTTGGCTTGTTTTTTTGTAACCAAGACCAAAACAATTCGATCTAACATTTCATAGATGTGTTGACAATTGACAGGAGCTCGAGCATCAATACAGTTGACTCAAACATGCAGAGGATTGACAAATATACATGATGTATGTTTGACACATATCCATATTTCAGGTTTAACCCAGTGCAACGGAAAATTAAAGAGATATCAACCAGGGAACGGCAAATTGTAAGAGCTATCTGTGATTTTGAGTTTTCCATGTTCGTGTTATCTGTGTATGTTTTAGTTGTAGTGGTCTACACCGAAGACCTATAATGTTCTGACAAATTATGATGTAAACAGCCAACAACTCGAAACTCTATACTGCAAAAATATTAAGTCGGGGTGAGATGTCAAAAGAAGCTTCGCTTGAGGTGAATTAAAAAAGTGTGATAAAATTATGTTCTGCATGGACTTCAGATAAATTTTCATTCAAAAGCTAAATGCAGTAGCTTACCACTATGGTAATAGTAACAGTTTAGAGTTACAGTCTTACAGAAGGTGCAATACACACACATAAAATTACATTCATACACCACAAAAAGTGCACGTATCATGATAAACACATGAAAGGAGACATTAATGTCACTTTCCATTCTATTCTTATCTCCAAGAGTCTAAAGAATAAGAGCTTAAATGAAACTGTTAGAAAGAAAAAGATGGAAAGTTTTTCCTTTCTGTCATGCTTAGGCCTATTGCATACTTATCAAACTTTAAATTTTAGATTGCAATTTCAATTACTCTGGGCTTACAAATCATCTTAAACAACATTGTTTGTCTTTTGTTTTTATCCAGTTACCAAAGGTGGCACAAAATGAGTAGTGCACCGCAAAACACAAAATACATGACAAATTACAAACAACTCCAGAAGATTACCCAAAGAGGAATGTATGAGTCATGCAAAATAGAGACGGGCGGGAAGCGCTTTTTCCTTCCCGAGCGAGAAGACAGAGAAGCTGACCTATTTCTCGCCAAGACCGGTCCCGGGAACGAGAAATACTTCCCGTCTCGTGTCTCGAGCAATGCTTCTCGTCTTGTGACCAATTTCTCTTCTCGCCCCGCAGTTCGAGCCGCTTGTTCAGCGAGAAGGCCGGCTGTGGCCGAGATTTCTCTTCTCGCCCCACAGAACGAGCAACTCCTTAGCGGGAAGGCCGGTCATTGTGGGGATCTAAACTTAGAAACTAGGCTTGCCCTGGTGCGCAGGCGGTGAAGGAAGGTAGGGAGACGACCTAGGCCCTGATCAACTCCCCACTCGCCTCGTCTCACCCACCCTCTCCCCTCCCTTTCAGTTTCACACACAGGACGGCACGGTAATGGGTAGCACTGTCTGCGTTGTCATTTCTCGCCTCTCACTCTCGTTACTGTTACTCGTTATGTCAAGCCAACGAGCAGTATCACGTCTCGGTACCGAGCAGTAGTTTAGTGCTCGGGAAGCGCGTTTCTCGCGAGAAATGAGTACAATGGAATCCTGTTATAACGAGAGGGTGGGGACCGGAGCAAAATGTTCGTTATAGCACGATTCTCGGTATAAGGGATCCAGTAATAAATTCAAGGAAAACTGTAAAGTAGACCTAATCTATGAGTTTGGTGTTCTGTTTATTTCCTTTGGCTATCTCCCCTGATGATGATTTTGTTTCAACATGACCTCTAGGTCTTACTTGATCAAAATTCGTATCTGGTTTATTTCTCTAGCGCTAGATCTAGCGATGTGGACTGGCAGCTCGGCTTTGGCGATCAGAAATCAGAAAGAAAGGGCTCTAGGTTAACTCGCTCTCTGTGTTTCCCCCCACCCCACCCCGTGGTGCATTCCGTCTGCTCGCGCACGTCACACATTCACTCCATCCATCACATTGCTGTGACCTCTCCATCCCCGCATCGAAGAAGTGAGAAGCATGGTAGGCCTCGATAATCTAAACAAGCCTTACGCTGGCCTATCACGCGATGCATTCTGCTTGTCTGCGCATGCCACACCCTCCCTACTCAGTCGCTCCGGCCTTCATTGTTGATGCACATGGGCTCTCCTATTCTGTTTCGCTAGATCACCAACAAGTTTCTCAAATGGCAAGGTTTTGCAAAGTATAATTGGCCTATGCACTGTGCACAGCAGCAGCAATATTCCGCTATAACTGACTCGCATGTTTGTCTGATAGCAGTATTTTATTTACAAAGGTAAAGAGGAGAAAAAAAAGGGGTTTTAGAACAGTGTCTTTATAACAGACTTCTTGTTTTTTCCGGACTCGTTGTAAGTGGACTCCACTGTACTCGGCTCATCTCGTGCCCGCCCCTAATGCAAATAAATCGATAACTAACTTCTTTTTCAAATCTCTATGAGTATCAATATTACAACCATTTGCATAGTTTACACTATAAAAACACATACAATATAACAAAACATAACCTAAGCCTTTGATGACATTTGAACCATCAGGTCCACACGAACACATGGCTATTTCTCCAAACAAAGGTACAAAAAAGTAACGTAAAACAAGGTAATTCAAGTAAACATCAAACCCACAAGAGAGAAATAAAACAGCATATTCACCCAGTGAAACTGAAAATGCCCACTCACTGCCCTTAAATCAAAATATAGGTGTTTTTCGTCCCACATCGACACAATATCGATCGTGTAGGAGATGGGTTTCTCTCCCTGCCCTTTTACTACAAATGTACAGTGGAAACCTGATATAACAGGGAAGGTGGGACCATGCGTGCGTGTAGCTTGGCCCTGGGCTAGATCAAAGTCTGCAGTACACCGTAGCCCTATCTCGCTTCACCTGCTGCCTGTGCTTGCAGTGACGTAGCTTGCTCCATCACTGCGTTACCCCCTCTCTTACTTTTTATCAATTGTTAACGAACCTTTGTCCCTGCTATAACCGACTGGGCTCCCATGAGGCCCTGTTAGTGCCGAAAACTTCTAATAGAGACAAAGAGTAGGAAAAAACGGGGAATTAAAAAATCCCCGTTATTACCGGGCCTGTCATATATATGGTTTCCACTGTACAATATATCAGGGTCAATATGGACTGACTGAGAGGGACACAACATCCCTGCAGAAAGATTGAGATATATTCTATAACAATTCAAACCACTCGGCCTCCTGTCTGCGACAGTGAAGTGCATTATAACCCCGCTACACCACAGGCACCGGTAAACTTGACACAAAGATTTCGTTATGGTCTTCTTTAAAAAAGGAAGCTAACCTGGTGCCAGACCACAATGGAGGTAACGGGCCATGTGGCCAGCATGAGAGCAGATGTCGTACACAGTCAGATTTCTGACAGCAGCTCTCAATAAAAGTACACCTGTACTGTAGTTATTAAGTTTTCATTGCCAAATTGGCAGGACATATCATTCACGTGTGTGTGTGCCTGAAGAAAAGTCCCAGTTGTCGGAAATTTTGGCAGAGGCAATTCAACGCTGAGCATGCTGATTAAAAAAAATTAAATTTCAAATATCTTGAGTAGTTTCAAAGATATGCCACATTTTGTAACACAATAAAAAAAATATTTAGACAAAATATAAAATCATTTCAATATGTTATTAAGAAATGATTTTAACGTGTTTTCTGAAGGAACTAAATTTTTGACTTGGTATACATTTTTGGTCTTTTCACACAGTTGCTCAAAAATAGCTATGCCGACAACTGGGACTTTTCTCCTAGCACACACACATATTTTAAACACTACTACTTAAAGTTAAAGTATGTGGGAAACAAAAGTTGGATTCCAGGAATATGAAAAACAAAATTGCTGTTGACACTGACAATTATAAAGAAAGAACTTAAAAACCCCCGACCCCAAATGAAAATAAAACAACATCGATTTTCTAACCAATGCACATGGTACAATTTGTGAGAAGTGAGATGAAACCAGATTTTGCAGGCATGCATTCAGAATCTTTCAGGCTTTCAAGCACAACTACCCTCGCCATAAAAATAAAAGAAACAGCTCATAGAAGCAATCTATGAATCAGAATCATATTCATCGAGATTGAAGTCTTCAAGAATATCATCCCCATCATTTCCATCTTCTTCTCTATCAAGTCTTTGTCTCTTGACTGTACTGTTTTGCTTCACTTTGCTATTTCTACCCTTTTCTTCTTCATCACTTTCTGGATCACTGCTCATCTGACCATTTTCCACACCATCTGAACCATCTGTTTCCTCTCCACTGCTTGCTGACTGAGCTAACTGTTCTAGTTCCTCATCATCGAAATCACTGTAATCTTCACTGTCTGATTCATCATTTCTTTTCCTCTTTCTTTTCAACTGATCAGGGCGCTCCTCTTTCAAAAGGAACCTGGTTTCATCATCCGAGTCAGACTCATTTTCAAATAATTTGGAAAAGTCCTCCCTCTCCTGTGGGGTTGCTCTTTTCGTAAGCTTTCTCTCCACAGTTGGTATGTCGATGGCAGCCCCAGAAATTGCTTCTTTGTTTGAGAGTTCATGCTGCAGTTCTCTGTCTCGAAGCTTCCTCCATGACGCATAGAACTTATCCAACGGCGTTCCACCACTCTTTATGTTGTTTTCCCATTGAGAGACAGCGCCAGAGTCATCAAGACGCACACCACAGTTTTTCCTTTTCCCAGAAATAAATGTAGCCTGTTCCATGGCTTTGTCCACAATTTGTTTAAATTGTTTGCAGTAGTTTGCAATTTTACACTTCTTCAGAAAGTCTTTCAACTGAATAACAGAAGGAATAATTAGTTCTGGAAAACCAATGGAGCAAGATGAGTTGTGATAACTTTCTAAGAACAGTTCATACAGCTGGTCAACAAGTCCATCTTTGAAAGCTTTTTCATGAAGTTGTGACTTTGAGAACTTCAAAATTACTGCAAAATTGAAAGGTTTCAAACTCACAGTCTTGTGCCTTTTGTTGAAATCAGTCTGCTCAATAACTTCCAACAAAAATGGCAATGTTGGAATAAATGTGTCTGTCTTTGCTGAAAGACTGTTTAACAGTTTTACACAATGAAATCTCAGAGGATAAAACCTGGCTGTAGGAAGTAACTTGATTGTCCCAATGATAGTCTGAGTCAGCGGATAAATCATCGGCTGAAGAATCTCACTCGGGCATGTGGTGGTCAAAAGTTTCACCCACAGACTGAGGCAATGAATGTACTGCCAATTGTACACAGCCTGACAAGTGTTCTTTTTCTTCACTGAAATAGCATTTCTCAAATGAATGGCAAGCTGACGAATGTAAATAAAAGCATACTGATACGCCAAAGTTTGATCAATGTTAAATAATTCCACAAGGGAACGCTGCATGAAGTTAATCTGCGGGAGAGTGGTAGGCGATGTGAATTTGCAGTTACTGACATATGCAGTATACATTTGTTTGAGAGTAGGTTCTAGCAGTGTGTCCTGTTTCATGTGCACTAATTTGTTTATGCACAGAAATGCCAAAACCTGGGTTGTTTCATCTCCACCAGTCCACATTTTCACAATTCTTTTCAGCAGCATCTTTGATAACTTGGGAAAAGTTGCATAGAATAGAATCAATTTGTGAACATGTTTCAGCATAGCATTTATCATTGCTGTTTCAGAAAGCTGAGCAAGTAAGTCTAAAAGATCACTGATGTATGACTTCACTTCAACTTTAATTTTCTTCCACGCACCTGACTTTTCAAAGGTTTGATTTCCTGAAGTTCCAGCTAGAGTAGTCAGATGGAGCATGTTCTGCAGGGTTGGAGCAATCCGCTCAAGACAAAGTCTTACAACACTGTTAAACACTAAACTACCTTCAACACGGTATTTTGAGGTAGACTGATCCTCAGCTCCACCTGCCTCTTGAACAGCAGCATGAAAAGCTGAAACAACTTGACGGAAAACAGTCTGAGATGGCTTTGTTTTCAGTTCTTCAGACCAGTTGTTAACCATTCTATTTGTAACAAGAGTACCACCTTTCTTTTTTGTTGTTGATTTTACAGCCTCTTCTTCATCGACATCTTCTGCTTCACTGTCATCACTGGCAACCTCAAGCTGCTGTGGCAATTTATGGACATTGCTTGACGTCTCTTCATCAGAGTCCGACTCATCACCACTAGACATATTGATAAGTTCTTTTTCAAATTCATAATCTTCTGGAGAACTGTTTTTAGCTTTGACATCATTAAGTTCGTCCTCATCTACCTCGGAATCATCATCAGACAGAGTTTCAAGATTAGATAACAAATTCTTGTCCTCACCTTTCAGAAAATCATAGAACTCTGGATCATTTTCTTGCAGTGACCTGGCTAGCGACTGTTTCGACACTTTGCTAGACTTTACAGGGTCCAAGCTAGCCGATGGCTCTGTTTGCAGTTCGTTCCTTTTGGCGACTTTGTTCATATTCTTATTCGTGTTGTTCGCATTGACCACATTGTCACGTTTCTGCTTTTGATTTGGAGCTTTCACTTTCGTCTTTTTAGACACTAACTTTTCTTTTGACCCTGCCTTAGAACGACTTTTCAGAATTTTCGAGTCTGAATCTGCAGACTTTGTAGAAGACTCTGACTCACTATCAAAATCGCCAGAAAAAAACTCATTCACAGACATGTCTGCCAACTTTTTCGACTTCATAGTGGGACCCATGCCGACACTGCGCGTGGCCATGTTTACGGAAGAGGAAAGACAATAAGACATGTGTGGCTTCAAACTACAAAATGTGCATCATGGATTTCTGTTGAAAGAAAACAATTTATATTTACTTAGATCTAATTCTATTGGTGCAAAGAAAACACTGGATTTGGGATTTTTGAACTCTAGAATTATAAATTTGTAATGATTTTATGACAAAGTTTTAATAATTTTTTAAAATATGGAGAATCAAACTCCAGGTTAAATATAGATCTAAGAATTAATAGAACTCTAGCGTTGTGTTGTTAATTCTCCTTTTTAATAATGAACAAGTTCATAGTTTCACTTCCGTGTCAATTGTACCTCGACTGCTCCGCTAAAGCAAGCAAAGCCTAGCCTACCGCTTAGTGACAGATCATCCCGAGACTCATGAGCTATTCATAGTTTTAAGTGGAAGAAATACAGACTACAGGAATTCTTTTCTGACGCTAACGCTAGCAGGAAGGTAAGCATATTACTTTAAAAAAAAAAGAATAATTCTGCCTTACTTGTTCTCAATCATAGCGTCATAGCTGTGACTGGAGCAAGAAAATTCGTCAGTCGAGTCTGCACAGAATTTGATTTGCTGTTAATACTGTTATTATTTTGTTTATAAAAAGGCCGGACGCACGCTCGGGAAAATAAACTCTAAACTTTATTTCTCCGAGCGGTTTCCGTTCTCTAGATTTGTTGGTTATTTGTGAATGGAGTGGCCCGTGTGTGTGTGTGTGTGTAGCCTATAACTAAGGTGTGAACAGGGCGGAGGGTTGTTTGCATGAAGGATTGTAGTTTTTGCTTTTGGTGTGACTATGCAAAATAGGTTTTACTGTCAATGTCGAGCAGTCTTGTTTTCTCGCAGTACATTTTGAAGGCATTTTCAAATGAAGTATAGTCTGGGAACGCTGCCCCAATCGCAATTGAAGTAGGCCTATCTGAATATGCAGACATTTTTAATAAAATCTCTAGCTCTAGTCTCTAGAAATTGAATTAGATGCAAAAAAATGCATCTTCTGAGTCCTCGCAGAATGAAAGATGATGCGTAAATCTCGCAAATGACAAAAAAATCTCGAGAGCGGAAACCGTTTGGAAAAGTAGAGGTCAAGTTTATTTTCCAGAGAGTTCGGTAAAATAGTCACTTCATTCTAAAAAAAGGTAAAGTCTAGAGTTAATTGCGACAGAGTGACGCTGTGACAATTAATGCAGCGTAATTGCGACAGAGTGAGTCTGTGACGAAAAAGAATTTAAAAGAAAAAAGAAAAACAAACACATGCACACACACACGCTCTGAGTCTCACACACCCACAGACACAAATACAGTAGTCTCCGCCTAAGATCCCACCCCTTATGATCCCGGTTCACGTAAGATCCCGTTGTTTAAGAAAACAGAATTTTACTATACAAAAGTCACCCCTAAGATCCCACTCTGATTCACTCTGAAGGTCTTCTTTCGGCTAAGATCCCGCATTTCAGATCACAACTTGCGAAACAAAAGCCCGGGCGGGCACAGCCTATCTACCAAGAGTGAAAAGTTGAGATCAATAAACTGTCCGTCGCGTCAAAGATTAGCCACTATCGTGAATGTGATCACATACACATTGTAAAACTCGATGAAGTGATACAATGTTTGCCCCAGACGGGATCACACCGGGGTGTGAACTTACCGACACGTTTGTTTTCCCCGAACATCACACTCACACCTGAGGTCTCCCCCTAAACTTACATCACTCGCTGGGTGGGTAGGGCCTACACGTTCGCCCCAGGCGGGATCACATCGAACTGTGAACTCTTCCCTGACCATTGCAGCAGTTGTCTCTACTCCCGAATTAGCGAGACAGTCTGAATTTTCATTGGTGTGTTCCACAGAATTCTTAGTGTAGAATTCTGTGGTGTGTTCACAACGTAATGGTGTGTAACGACAAAGGCGGTTTGGGAAGGGGGGGGGGGCCTCGCTAATTCGGGAGTAGAGACTCGGTCAGAGATGGAAAGCTATACATTTTCGACAGGTAAAGGGGAAGGGCAACTGGATAAGCGTAGACCTTGAGACTCATGATAGGATAATAAGTGAAAAAGGCACGCGTCATGCCACTCTGCACTGTGATAGGTCATCAAGGTTAACTCACTTACTACTGAGCCCTTTCACCAGTCACGAGCGTTGAAGACTGGCGTTTTTGGGAGTATTTCAATAAATCACCACAACTCTCAGAATTACCCTATTGTAATTATTTTTTGACACAGTAAAGTACAAAAAACTAAAGTTGTCTAAGTCCAATACTTTATTTTATATGATTTTAAAAAAATTGGCATGAATTTGATTTTCCGAAAAATTTCCAGAGACATGACAGGTAGAATGAAATTCACAACAACAACAAAAATAAAAGTTCAAAGTGTTGTATTTTGATTTGTATGCATGTGTGCGTGTTTGGTGAAAGTATAAAAGCTGGTATGTGTGTTGATTCAGACCCATGCACTGAATTACATGAGACAGATGTACGGCACGACGTTGTGATTTCGTTGCGCGAACAACAACACCAGTACTAGTGCTAGATCTAGCCCTAAAACTACGACTCGGGCCGTGTTCGGGTACATATCCAGGATCCTAACTATCAGACACATCATTTTCTGAGACACTAGAACTAGTAAAACGTACAGAAGTATCGAAAATGGCGAAATTATGTGATTCTTGTTGATGCGACTTCTTCGACCGTTACTACGATGCGACTGTCGGATTACTATCAGCTGTATAGAAAAAAACAAAGCACGAGTTCCGGTCAGTTCAACCCCAGTTGGGGTCAGTGTCCTTCACCTTCAATAACTTAAAAACTACGGGTCCCAGAGATACGAAACGAAGTCTAAGTAGCTCAGGCTTGGCCAAACAAGGGTACGAGGCGGGTCCCGTGATCCGTGCGTGATTTGTAGAGTGAAAAAAAATTTCCAAAGTTGGTCACGCAAGGCTCGGGGGAGCCGTCGCGGCGGGGGTCACGCAACTGTTGTGTGAACCGTCTGAAGAGAGTTAACCACTCTTTGCTAGCCATATTTATGCCATAAACCCACCAAGGGGTCACGTCAGTTCATTGATGAGTGGAGGGAGACCATTTTACCGATTGCGAGCCTTAACATGGGTCACCATAGATTCTTCCCTGGGTTCGTCGGTTAAGATCCCGGTTCGCCTAAGATCCCGCATTTCCTTGCTCCTGAGCACCGGGATCTTAGGCGGAGACTACTGTACACATACACACAGACACACACACATCATACACTCACAGACACACGCACAAACGCGCACTGCACACGCTTGTGGCCTTACACACACACACACACACACACACACACACACACACACACACACACACACACACACACACACACACACACACACACACACACACACACACACACACACACACACACACCAAACTAACAGACAAACAAAGACAGTCACAGCTCGTTTCTTGTTGTTGTTGTTGTCGCTGTTGTTGCCCCTCGTAGTTTTTGTTTCTGTTGTATGCTGCTGATGTTTTGTGGTAATATCTATTGCCTCGTTATTTGGGCTGTCCATAATATTAACACAGATAAAGTAAACTGTGCCGTACAGAATGTCTTTGTGGGTTTTTGCCACACTCTTTAAGTTCGCCTTCTCAACTGTTTCTGGTGATTTCTTCCTAAAGGCAACAAAATTTTTATCTTTAGATTTAGCAATAGCTTTGTCAAATTCATTGTAAGATTTAAATGCCTGCCTGCAAGATAACTAGGACCATGCTGGGAAGCGAAGCGGAAATGGTAGATGATGTTAGGCCAATCATCAACGCAAAAGAGCTCAGTGTTCACTCTGTCGCAATTAACGCCGCTTTAGTTGTCACTGCGTCTCTCTGTCGCAATTAACACTACCATAAAAAAAAACCTCTCTGCCGACGAACTGCGCTGAACGTGCTACAGGGTGACCGCAGAACGGTTTCAAGTTTCAGTTCCATCACTTAGACTTCGAGTTTCAGTCAAGGCACAAATTGAAATCAAATTCTAGATTTCTTGAAATAGATTTATAGGTTTAGGCACAGTTGAACACGCAAATTCATGACATAATAATGAGACAAGCGGATAGCTAGAGAACGACAACTAAACGCTTAAGGCAGATATTTATAATAACAGCCATCTTGTTTGACCTCGCAAGGGGGACGCCCGCAGCGTCATCTGATCGGGATTCTATAGATCTAGGCCTAGCTAGTGATGATTTTGCATAGCGCACGGTTTGCACTGACAGTTTCCAAGCTTCCCTCTTTGAATCTTTCCTAATGGTCCCCCCTAGTCCTAGTATACTATATACTTCTTTTGCACCTCACAGTATCCATTTTTGCAAACCTAGCAGTCTTAAATTAGATCTACTCCATTTGCAGCTCAGCATCGTATTGGGTCCAATCTCTTGTAAGTGCTTATTATAATTTCTTGTGCTTACGATCCGGTCAATCATTTGCACTGCGTCATTATTGAACCTTGCTTGAACTTGCTTTTGTACATAGGCCTACCCTTAGTCTTTTTAGCATCAGAATCAATCTGGGCAGAAGACGGGTGCTGCACAATCACAGACAAACGAACCAAAAGGTTCTGCAAGTTGCAAAGAAAATAAAATCAGTCGGCAGGCTGCCGTGGTGCTGTGATGTTGCCACCGTGACTGACAAAGTTGGCCGGGAATCCTTCAATGATGTGAAACAAGATGGCTGTTACTATAAATATCAGCCAATGGCATTTAGTTGTCGTTCTCTAGCTATCCGCTTGTTAATAATAAGCTACATACATGATACAGTCACAGATAGGTCGATCACAGAAGACTCGAAATCACTCATCTGTCCAACTGTACCTGTGGTCCCGTTTTTTTTTTCTTTGTTTTCTTTGTAAGACATCCCCGGAACTATCATGGATCCCTCGAACTATCGAGGCTGGTCCCCACGAATTTGAACTATCCGTGTTATAACTATTTACTTTGAAAATTGATAGGAGCCTAATAATTTTTAGAGGCCTATCATGTACTATAGTATGTAGGGTAGCCTAGGCCTACTACTACTACTATCGCATTGCTATCATGCAGCAATTTACAGATCTGAGATTCCTCAAATTTTTTTTTCTCTTAGTCCTAAGCCAAAGTCATTTTGCTATTGTAGTAGTAGGGAGTTGAATGCTTCACAGTACTTAGTCTCCTACCCCTTTCAGCACACGCTTCTTTTTTTTTCTGCTTTTGATTTTGAATTTTCATGGAAATTTTAATTTAAAAAGATCTCCCCTTTTCAGTATTAATTAAACTGTTGAAAGCGATGACATTTTCCAAGATGACACATTGTTCAGCATTGTAATCTATAACAATAAAAGCTCCCCCCCCCCCCAATCCCCCATATTGAATTTTTAGATAAGCAGACACATATTGCCCAGTTTCCATTTTAACACCTTTTTTATCCTCTACTTGTATGAGTTTCTTGCAGTGATTTTAAAAATTGGTTTGATTACTTTTGCCTTCTTTACTGCACTTAATTTTAGAGATTAGGCAGAATGATGAAAGCAGGTGATTTTGGAGAGTACGGGAGGGGGTATAATGTTCATGTTTGTATGTTATAATGTGGAGGTCTACATTCTCAAGTTGAGTGAAAAGCAATGTTCTGAACAATATCTAATTCAGTGTGGATACTGTGAAAGTAACCTCTGATAGAGGGTGGATTGTCTGGAATTTCTCCTGAAGCATTGCCTAAAGTTGGTGTGTAATGTGGAGCTCTAGGATGAGTACAGATAAAGTTATAGAATGGCACAGGGAAAAGCTTCCCGTATGTTAGTATCTGATTATTTCATGACATTCAACAGAAAGAAAATTAATATAATACTGATCATAGCTTACCATTCTTTATGAAAATGCTTTGAGGACCATTTTGATAAGTGAATGTCTATTGTCCTTGATAAGTGAATGTCTATTGTCCATGAGGTTGTACCTTTTGTTTTAAGTCATCCACAAACAGTTCTTCTACATTTTTCTTTTTTTTACCCTACTTTTGACTTGCTAAATCAGTACTTGTAAGCAACTTAAGTTAGTATAACTAACAATTTAAAAAATTAATCTTTTGAGTCTTTACAAAGCCATCCTTTCACTTAAGTAATACGTAGTACTCTAAAAAGTAGGTTATGTTATAAAAATAAACTTTGGCACTTGCATCAGTGTTCTTAGCTCAAACTTTGAAATATTTTAAGAAAGCATTTTTTCACGACTATGTTGCAATTTTTTTTCTTTTCTTTGTTAAAACATTTCAAAAATGAATTTTAAATCTGTGTTAATGAAAAGCCAGAAAAACAATTGGTCATTGTCATCCAAGGATGGCAGTAGGTTTAACTCAGCATCAGTGAAATTGAGCCAATAGTATGCCCTGTGCATTTCTGATGTTGCCAGGACATTCTACTTCTATTGTGTTATAATAAATTAAATTTAGGGGTCCAGTTTGATATTCTTACAATAATTATTGGGTTGTTGTTTTTTTCCCCAGTTGGAAGTTTCGCCTTTATAGGATCCAGACATGGCTCAACCAGCTGCAGTGTTGATGGTAGTGGCTGCTGTGGGACTTGGTGTCGTCATAAACTTTTCAATACACAAGATTGAAGAGGGTAACTTCATTGACATTATCACTTACCCATTTAGTGTATAGTGAAAAGATCAAGGGTAATGTAACTTGTTCATTGTCCAGACCATATGGTATTCCTAAAACTTACTTGTGTAGAATGAATGAGAAAAAAACCCAACAGTTTCTTATTTCTGTTCTAATCTGGATTTTGAAAATTGTTGCGGTAGATTAATTCTTGATGATAACAATCCATGGTCTTGAAAAACGTTTAATGTTTGGGAATTCGAACATTTGTGACTGATAAAAAGATATCTGTAGTTCCCAACATTAAGGAATTAAAAAAGAAATGTGGGCTTGGTTTTAGTTATTTTTTATGTGGTACTTATTGTGTTTTGTCTAAAGCAAGCGTGTGTTTATAGTTTAGAAGAAATGAAATTGTCAAGAATATTTTGGAATGTGTGCATCAGTAATGTGGACAAGTTTTCGTTCGTTATTAATATCCAAACAAGTGGTTAAGACAGTGAATATATAAGGAAAAGGCTTACATATTTGCATGTTTCTATTCCACCTCAGGTAAGGTAAATAAATAGTCTGGAATTTTTATCCTTATTCCGTGGTTTTAACTTGCTGATGAAAATGAATGTGTTTATTGTTTTCCCCACAGGACATGTTGGAGTCTATTATCGGGTGAGTGTATCTCTTTTGACATTTTGTGGGATGTATTTGTATTTAAAAGAGCAATAAATTAGCTCCAATTGTAGGGGTGAATAATTATGTCATAAAAACAGATTAGGGTGGACATCTACCCCATGCGCAACCCTCCCCTTCCCTGAAACTGGGTCATTTTTAACAATATCTGAAAATAACCCCCTGCATAGAGTTTGACATGTTTTTTTTCAAGCCTTGCACGAATGCCTGTACAGTTTGTGCTCCTGTTGATAGAGATTTCTTTATGGAGAATTTTGTTGATTTTAGTTTTGTCTTTATTCTTATTATTGCTGTGCAGTAATAACAATGTGGTCTTCTGCTAAACAATATTTACAATGTGATCTTCTATTTTGGCTTTATTATACTTATTGTGGACCAAGTAATTGTATCATGTGGGGGTTTTTGTTCTTTAATTCATTCACATTCAAAGAATTCCATTCTTTTATGACATTAATTTTTTTTTAACCTCATTCTTTTTTTTTCAGGGTGGTGCACTGTTGTCAAAGACAAGTGAACCAGGGTACCACTTCATGCTACCGGCTCTGACATCTTTCAGATCTGTTCAGGTATGTGATGTAATATAAGGTGCTTTTAAACTGAGTGATCTTATGTGATTGTATATCCAGATGACAAGGACATGTGGTTACTTGAGGGAGGCATTGCGCTGCCAAGAGCGAAATGCTCGCAGATAAAGGGATTTGAAAACAACAAAAACAACAACAACATGTGATTGTATAGTCCATTACCTGTTCTCATTCAAAAGGGAGTGTAGTTGGAGAGCGCTGTTGGTAGATCTAACTTCACTACTTCTTTACTTTCCCTCTGTTGTTTCTGTCTGACTGTCTTACTTTGTCCCAGCACTTAATGACTTTTATTGTATTGATGTGCGAACAAATTCAAAAGGAGATCATTTGCTTTGTGGTGCTTTATGTATTTTATCAAGATCCAAAAGTAATCTATGTTCGGGTTTTTTTGTTGGTAGTATTCAGTCTACTATTCAGCTTTCATCACCTGACAAAAGAAGTTTTTTTAGATTCCTGTTTGAAAGATATTACATCACACCTTAGAAAAAGCAACTCAGCATTGAAAAAGGTAATGAAATTCAGAGCAGTATTAATGGAGAGTTATTGCTGTGGCTGATGTAGTTTTATTCTGTGGAGTAGAGTTTCTTATTACAATCTTTCATGAAACAAGTGATGATTAACAAAATTTATTTGAGTCCACTTGGTCACTGTCAACTTTACTGTATCACATTATGTAAAACCATTTTAATGATCTTTTATTAGTTTATTGCATGAAAATTCTGATAATTACACATGGGAACCTCATCTCCCTATGAATGCATTTGTTTGAAATAATGGGCTACTTTTTGTCTTTTTGTCCCCAGACAACCCTTCAGACTGATGAAGTGAAAAATGTTCCCTGTGGCACAAGGTACTGAAAATTGCTAGAAGGAAATGTTTATGATGATACTGTTAGAACCAATGACATATTCAGTCTCTTTTTTTAGTGTTCAGTACTAGATTTGCTGTTGGGAGGGTGTGGAAAGAAAGTCATACTGTTTTTGAAAAGAGAAGGTCACATGGGCGGTAATGATGAGCTGCTGTGTTCTGATGGCACCTTTGAGAACTGAAAGGTGAAATGGTTCTGTTGAGCAGCTCTAGGGTCTTATTCTGTTAGGTTTAGGAAGATGGAGCGGAACTAATCTGAGAGGTTCACATATATGGCTTTGTAGAAAAGGGAAAATAGTTGAGGTTTTTTTTTTGGGTGGGGTTCCCTATTTATGCTCCTTTTTTCTTCTTATTTTTTAATACCTGCTGATTTTTTTTCTTTCAATTGCTACTGATTTCACTGTTGCTATATACTTTTTACTCCAAAATGTTTGTATCTCTGAAAATTACATGTACTTTTGATTTGCTTTTTCCCAGCGGAGGAGTTATCATCTATTTCGAAAGAATTGAAGTTGTGAACAAGCTGGACATAAATGCAGGCAAGTCATTTTTAGTTTCATAGCATGTAACTAATGAGTTCTGCTTTATCTGTTCAAATTAAAATGTGCTTCCAATATGTTGGTTACTGTTACAAGATGTTTAACCCTGGACGAACGCCACGTCTTACCGAAAGTAACCAACTCCAAATGCTCCGCCGCCACGGCCGATCGGCTGTAAAACATGGGGGTTTGGTGGGGGCATTAGCTGAGATTCATACCTGCAACTGAAAAATGACCATTTACAGCTCAACGGGTGATTAAAAAGACATATAAGACCATTTTCTTAAAGCTGATAGAATGAGCCATTAAAAAATTATAAGTGATCAAACAAATACAAATAAAGCAGAGAACGCAATGAAGTCAACAGTAAAGTAGCACAGCGGAACAAGTAATAACACATAGCGTGTAGTTGTTCAGCTGGACTGCGTCGTTTTATCGATTTATATGTGGGCCAACAGACGTGATACATGTTCAAAATAACTTGCAAACTCATTGATCTCTATTTATAACTTTTACCTGCACTTTACTACGTCATTTACCATATAAGGAACACTGAAATTTTCCTTTAAAGAAGGTCAGGATCTATGCCCTTTATGCGTGGCCTGCGCGCTTTCTGGTCGAAGTATGTCGGCCCTATATATAGGGCTGTCACTCTACCTGGGTAGCCCCGCTCACGCCCAATATATAGGGCCTTCACTCTTCCAAGGTTAAGGTGCTGTTTCTTTTTACTCTAAAACTGATAATAATTTTTGGAAAATGTATTATATTTCATTGTTGCAGTCATTTTATTAAACTTCTGTAAAATCTCTGGTGATACAAAGTAATTTTGTTAATTATAAAAGACTGTTTTTTTTCTCCCAAATTGAGATTACATAGGGGCTGCTGCCAAGAATGCCTGTGTGCTGTAAATCGTCAGAGTATTAGAGAAGAAACAAATGTTCTATAGTATATTTTTATAACTGTTTATAATCTGTCCCCAGTTTTTGACATTGTGAAGAACTACACAGCTGATTATGACAAGACTTTAATCTACAACAAAATTCATCATGAGCTGAACCAGTTTTGCAGTGCCCACAATCTACAAGAAGTTTACATAGATTTGTTTGGTAAGTTTAGTTTTGAAGTATCAAAGTCCTTTGATTAAAAGAAATTTTCACACCAATAAGAAAAGGGTGTGTTCATTTTACACTAATTTTTTATTTATATCAATTTTGCACAAATACTACAAATTTTACACTGCACAAAAAATGTTTATCTTTGAGTGTTGGTATATATCCCTCTTGGATAATAAAGTATTATCTTATCTTATCTTATTAAAATGCTTATAAGCACCAAAGTATGCGACTGATTTATGTCGTGACTAACGGAAGCCATGCTGTCAACTTACACTGCATTCTTGAGGTGAAATGAGTTAAGTGAGTTGAACTTCTTTTTAGTGTTACAAATTTAGACATATGTGTTAAATATTGTTCGTGCTGCTTGGCTCCTGTAACATTTCCTTTGTTGTTTTGTTTCCTTCGTCTTCAAATATCAGACCAGATTGATGAGAATTTGAGGAAAGCCTTGCAGTCTGATCTCTATGACATGGCCCCAGGCCTAACTGTTCAGGCAGTGCGAGTGACCAAGCCAAAGATTCCGGAGCAGATCAGGAAAAATTATGAAGCCATGTAAGATTTTTTCAAAAACTGTCGTGTGTGAGCGTGTTGTCTTTGCTTTTTCTGTTGCATAGTGACCCTTTTGCAAAACTAGAAGTTGCACTCATCAGTTACACTTGGTATCATCTGTGAATAAATCAATTTGTTTCTGGAGATATTTTAACATGTTTTAAAAAAAATGTTCATTCTATTCATCACACAGTTTTCCTTGGAAAATAAGGCACACTCTGTACAGGTTTGGACAATGGCACCATTCTTGCGTCTTTGAATTGGAGCTTGCAATATAAAGACTGCAAATGTCCGTATATCAATCTCAAGCTAAATATGATCTGCAATAGTGATTTTATTTTTTCTGTTTTCTCATATATGTATTTACCTTTTATGTCTAGGGAAGGAGAGAAGACCAAGCTGTTGATTGCCATCCAGAAGCAGAAGGTTGTAGAAAAAGAAGCAGAAACAGACAGAAAGAGAGCCATCATTGGTATGTTTGATTTTGTAATACATGTATATTCAGTAATTTCCTGTCGTTTGCTTACCTGTGTCTGTCGTGAAGCAGTTAGGCACTTCGTGGTCACTTGCAGGAGATGTGAGTTTGATTCCTATTTTGGGGAAAATTTTAATTGAGTATCTCCACTTTCTGCTGGGACGTTGTATCCCTCTCAGCCCAGGTTGTCCCTGACAGGCAAGGTTGAAACGGCCTGTCTCATAAATGATGTAAACAGTAGCAACAGTCTTAATAAAACTTGTACAATAATCACAAATTACATCTGTCATTAGCTTTTTGCTTTGTAGGTATATAGATTTCTTCAAGCCGGTTGATTTATTTTCTAAGGAAAGTCTGACAACAGGAGCAGTACGATGTGTTTGAAAGAACAAGGCCCTGTCCCTATTGCCTGTTGAGATGATTGCTTTCATGTTGCTGTGTCACATGTTGTGACAAAATACTATTATAAGTTGCAGAGACAAAGAGTATTCTTTTTTTTTCTAAATCATGATAAATAGCCCTGAATGTGCACTGTTTCAATTATTTATTTTTTGTAGAGCACTGTGCTCAGCTGTTCTCACCATTTTTGTTGTTGTCGCATTTTGTTTTCAGAGGCTGAAAAGATCGCCCAAGTTGCGAAAATCCAGTGGGATCAAAAGATTATGGAAAAGGAATCTGAGAAGAAAATGTCTGAAATTGAAGGTAAACAATTCTGCCATTTGATTTTTTTATAATCAAAGTAAAATTTCTTTTTGATCTAAATAAATCATAAAAACACTGGAAATTCAAAGCTGTCTTTTTGTTTTTATTTTGTTTCTATAAAAGAATTACATTACTAGTTGACATTTCAAAAAACTAAAATTACATTTGCTTTCAAAGAGAACTTAATGTATTTATATTCTGACGTTCTGTTTCTAGACAGATGCAATATAAAGTGCTCCTTCCTGCCATGGATAAGAAATAACTTGTTATCTTTATATTTGTGATTAGTGGCACATTTTTTGTTCATTGCTGATAAATTGCTTGTGATAATGTTGTAGTTAAACACCAACTCAAATGATATATGTGTTTTTTTTTAGATTCCACACTTTTGGCTAAAGAACATGCAAAGGCTGATGCAGAATTTTACAAGGCCCAAAAAGAAGCAGAATCAAACAAGGTAGAGAAATAATTGTTTGTGTGTGACTGCCTGCCCATTTCATATTCAGTTGGTCTGATTTTGTTGTTCTGGACTTTTTGAAAATCATTTTGTTTAAGTCAGTCTTGTGTGTTATCTGTGTTTATACTTTCGATTAATACTGCAGCTTGCGTCAAGATATGTTGCTATTTTGTGACAAATTTGTCAGTAGCTTTTGAGTGCTACTCCTAAGTTGGTGGGTGGTTGGCGGGTGCTCTGGTGTGGTTTGCTCCTGCTTTCCTATCAAACATCTATTGTCCTTTTCTCCCCTTCTTCTTTTTTATGTTTGTTACTCTCTTGTAACACCTCTAATCTTCTGGCGCTCATATGACCGTATGCAGTTGCGAGCGCCGTAAAACCTCTACTAATACTATACTCCTAAGTTGTACGTCTTTCATGTCCTTCTGTTGTTCTCATTTCTAGAATTATTTATGTTAGTCGTAAATGGAAAGGAAAGTTCCCATTATTAGATTTATATAAATCATAGGAATTATTGAAACTTTGATTGTCGCAAGTGAGATATTTGTACTGCAAGTGGAACTGTAAAATTGGAGCACACTTTGATTCTTTTCGTCAATGTAGTGTTTGATGCATTTCTCTTTTGAAATTTTTTTGTTGTATTATTAGGTTCATTATAATTGATAATTATAATTCTCTGCACAGTTGGTTCAATATAGATATAAGGTCTAGTATTTTATGTTTTTGAATGTGATTTTATTTTTTTCTAAATGTACACTATTATTTTGACTGCAGTATATTGATGAAGTCATTGTTCTGACCTGCCCTGATTATCTCATGTCTTTTCTGCGTGCAGGTGAAGCTTACCAAAGAGTACCTTGAAATGCTGAAGTTCCAGACCCTGGCTAGCAACACCAAGATCTACTATGGCAACAGCATACCAAGTATGTTTGTGGATTTGCCAGCTGTAGGAGCCGCAGAGAAGTCCTGCGGTGGTGATTCGAGCTCTTCAGAGGTAAGTGATATTTACTTATAATTCTGGACTTGTTTTCTATGTTCGCTACTGACTTAAACGCTTGTCAAATCTCATCATTAAAAAAAAGTTGTCATAGGATTTACAATGAAGGGTTGTAAATCTAGAAAGCTGGGTATATTTAGACATTACTTAATTACGATACCTTGAAGACAACATGTCAATTCTGAAAAAAAAAATTTTCAGCTGGGAAAATCATATGAACATTTGTGATCCCCGCTAACTATTTTATTAAAGTAGCATAAAGGCTTTATCATCTTATTCTCTCTGCAGAATAGGGTTGTTGAAAATTGTTTTTATCTCTATCTGTTCTCTTTTTTTTCCCAGCTTTCTTTTGGTGTTTTGTTTTATTGCTTTGATGTGTTCAAGTTTGTATAGGAGCATGTGATTGGTTAGAGGGATTGTAAAAAAAAAAAGATTTTCTGTACATTTTACCACTGCTGTCAGGCAGTAAGAAAGTTTTGGTGATAAAGTGTTAGATGAATGTTATAATCCTTCTTACTGTTTTAATCATGGGTAATCTTTTCTTTTCCCAGAATAAAAAAAGATAGATTGGACATGATCGGATGTGAGTGGATGCATGACTAGCGACTTTGAGAACATCACTGCTTGTGTATGGTGCCTTTGCTCAAGTTCAACTCATACCTTGAATAGACAATATCATTTTTAACTGTGTGGTAGTGCAATTTTCTCAATATTGTATTGCTTGTTAAATTTTCTTTTGCCACAAAGATTTAAGGATTTCCAAATGATGAATTATTGACACAGAGAAGTGAGGCGTGATATTGGAATAGCCTGCTGTGTATTTCTTGTTTTATGAATGAGCAGGTTTTTCATCATTTTTAATGGTCCATGGAAATCCATTAGTAGCAGCCAAATAAAACGACTGAGAAACACTCCACTAAACGAAAAAAAATACAGAATGAACATTCCGCAATACGCGCATAAATTACTCTTTTTGGTGTGTGTGTGTGTGTGTCTTTGTCTTGATTCCTTTTGTTTTGGTTCTTTTTTGCCTCTTCATCTTGATTTTGTTAAACAGACATTAAAGAATGATAATGTATGGGTGTTTGAAAATTATTGTATTTCAAAAAAAAATTTTCAGTCTTTTTTATTTTTATTTTCTCTGTCCTAAAGCTGTCTTCTCTTGTGATGACACTAAACATGTAATGAACTGTCTTGTAACTTCAAATTGTCTTGCAACTTTAATACCATGAAATTGTTCAACACAGAACTCTTGTCTATTCCACATTTTACTTCAGAACTGTTCTCTTTTTCTTTGGTCTTTCTGGTCTTTACTATTTGGCATGTGTTTCTAGATTTTGGCAAAAATGTGGTCCACAAGGGCATTTTAGATATGGGGAATTTTTGTGTTTTGAGGACATTGCGCTTTACGCTAGACTCGTAAAAAAAAAAATGCAGCTATTTGAGGAAATTGGCAGCTCTTTGGGGCTGTCTATTTGATTTGAAAGCAGAAATGTGAGCATCTTCTGGGAATAATAAGATGGGGAATATTAGGTGCAAAATATTTAGAAATTTAAAACAGAAGTCTGTATTTAAAGTGTGTACTAGTTTACAAACATATGCTAAAACTTATGTAAAGTGCACATGTGCGTTATGTAGAAGTCTTTAAAAAATCATTTTTATTAGAATTACAAGCAGTACATACACACACGCATGCGTTCGCACACACACACACTCAAACTACACAGACTCACACTTCACACACACACACTCTCATGCAAATGCACATGTATGCAGAGATGGCTATACTTTTTAGTGGATGTCTCTCTGTACAAATGATTTGAAAAATATTAAAATTGTGACATTCTTTTCACGTGGTGATAGAAAATACTGCCAACTTGTAATTTTGTTTTGTTGCATGCAGTGAAGAGATTCTTTCAAAGAAAATATTTTCTTTTCCTTAGTCAGATTTTGTCCTTCAACATTTTTAGCCTTTCATTTGTTATGGAGAGCTTCTGCCATTTTGAATTTTGTTGAGTAATGTTTTGGATCACATAGAGAGTTTTTGTTTTTTTAGTTCTATGATTTTAAAGATGTTGTGTCTTTTCTTGTGGGTGTCTGTTGGATTGTTGATATTTATATAAGTCTGTTTATTTAGTGGTGCACACATAGTAATAACTTGAAATGCTTTGAAGTGGTGTTATAAAGAAATACTGCGATCCTATTACTAATATATGAATTTTGCTCGGTCTATTATTGTATGAATGGTTTTGTCATGACTTCAATTGATTAGAATGTTGTTTTTTTCTTTCACATAAGTTCAATGAGAGATGTGACCTAATGTGTTCCAACATCATAAGACATGTTAGAATTTGCTCCAAACACTTCTGAATGTGACATGCGACCCTATTTTTTCTTATCTCTCTTCTCTGCTGCTCAAGGTAGTTTTTATTGGTGCACTTCATTTTTCTTATAATTTGTGAAATACTGATATCTTAAAGCTCTTTGAATAATGTAGGTGGGTGGCTGGAGGGTGCTACTGGTAGGTTCTACTTCTTTTCTTTCGTTGCTTCTGTCTGTCTGTCTCTTTTCCAGCATTAAGTGACTGTTATCATGTGCTTCTCAATGTGCTTCTCTTTACTGTAATGGAACAAAAAATCAATTTCATCATTTTCACTTCCCCTTCTGGAGTCCGGTTCACTCTTTTCCTACCTAACATCTTTCATCCTTTTCTCTCCTCCTTTTTTATATGTATGTTACTCTCTCGTAATGCCTCTACTCTTTGGCACTCATTCAATCTATTTGTTCTGCAAGTGCCGTAAAACTCTTACTAAAACTAAAAAAGATTAAAAAGCAAGCTTTTCTCCTGGGCCAATCTCTTTAGTTGTCGCGTGGAATCGTCAGTCCTCTTTGTTAGTGCATGGAGATCGTGGGGGTCATTTTTTAGGGTGTCATCTATATTATATTTTATATCCTCTGTGAGATCAAAATATAGCTTCAAATACAAACCGTACATACCCACTCCCACTGTAGGAATTAATTTTTACTTAAGAAAAATTTTCAGTCTTTCTGGGGATGGATCTCTTGAAAAATCCTGTAGAATGTCTCCCTTGACGTGATATCCCTGTGAATTTATTTTCAGGCTGACATAATGAACTGATTTTGTGAGATTGCAGTGTGATTGTAGAAATCTCAGTGTTGTTTTCCTCATTCATTACTTTTGATCTGGACTTTGATTTTGTTTCACGTATTGATATCCCTATCGTGTGATATATATTTCAAGCATTAGACTGTTGTGGTTATTCCAATAATTAGTTAGCGCCAATAATTTTTTTCAGGAACTAATGATTATGTACCCAGTTCTCTATTCATGTTATTTATACTCATATATCAGTGTAATCATCGAGCTAGATTTCTCCACCAAATTGTACTTTAACCCTATCTGTACGTCGTGTTTTATTATCGTATCCATACGACGTGGGGAACTCTGTGCCACTACTTTCAAAGAGGAAATTTACTCGTTAATCCGATCCGTACACTTTGCATAGCAGTCTGTCGAAATGATTTTTTGAGAAATACTGAAAGTTTCAAAGAGATCTTCGTCTAGAAGTATTCTAGAATGTGAAGAATACAACCCCGGGGGTACAAAATAACCCCAGGGCGTACAGATAGGGTTAAAAGTTCATGTGGACTTAGTAGGTGAACTATGTCTTTGGTATGATGCATTGCTGATTAGGTTTTTTTTATCTTATAATTTTGTGTGTGTTCCAAAGCAGATGTTGTTTAGCTGCTGATGACACAGTTGATGACTGACTTTCAAACAAAATGCAGAAGTTTGAGGTTCAAATAGAGTACGATCCTATCTTTTTATTTATTTATTTTTTTTTCTTCGAATTCTGAAATGGTTCTTCTCACCCTGGTATTCTATTACAGGCCCAAGTGCTCCAACTTTGAAGTTACCTATTCTGCACCTCAAGTGTACACAACACTAGCAGCACTTCACAAAATTTGTCATAGATTGATGTTTCTTTATTAAATCTTTCTCCTAGTTGCCCAGAAAGTCTCATTCCGAGGCGTTTTCCATAGTCTGACGATTTTGCCATGTATACTGCTCTCTGAATAATGGGTTTTACATGCCTAGTTTATTTAGGTTTGATATTTCCTAACAATCCCTTAATAATTGGACATCATTGTTCTGAATCAAATTCTTTTCCGTTTCTCATGTGGATTAAATTCACCTTATTATTGCTGAATTTCAACAACATCTTTAATTTGATGACGAAAGTGTTAATTTTATAAGTTACCAGTATTTCAATGAGTTATTCTAATTCTTTCTAAAGTGATGATACATGGAAAAACCCCCCATAAAAACCCTAACAACATAGGTACCTCCGCACTTGTCAGTTTTGAAGAAGGTTTTTAGTGCAATATGTCCTCCTTCCTTTTTAGGTGGGTATTATGACACAATCTTTTTTTGCTGTATAGCGCCATCACTCTGATCGGACTAATCCGTTGCAGATTTTAGTGTCGTGCAGTCAACTTTATTTTGTTCAACTTCAAGCATGATTGTGTAATGAGGGAATGTATAATTTATTCTAACTTCATCTATAAACATCTTCAGTTTGTTGGGCTATATAAAAGTGCATTACCTCCTAATTTAATGATAGATTAGAAATAAATTTCACTTATGTAGGGCATTTCCGTGATAGTTTATGTTCAGTGTGATTGTTGTCGTCTTCATTTGCTTCTTGGCAGTTTCATGTCTACACTGTTTGTAAGGCCATGAAAAACAAGTTTAATCAAAGTCTGACTGTTGTGTTATTCCTTCTGGTTTCATTGTAAACATTCTTGCACATTATTTAATTTATTATTTTCTTGATACCGTTGGTTTCTAAGTCTTTACTTTTTTTGTTGTTGAGGTTTATATTATACCCACAAAGCAAGTGAGCTGCTTTTGGTCGCAATATTTGGATAGGGATGCCATTGTTAAAAAAAGGCCATGTTTGTTTGTTTGTCTCCACAGTGAATTTTTCCTGGCTCAGTCTGAACTGAGGGAAAGCTTGTGTTTTAAATGCATGAGAGCATGCTGGTGCAGATACCAAATCTAAACAGACAATTATACTCTCTAGAATTCAAGAACTGGAAGATATAAAGTTTAGAATTGATAATAATAGATGCTGACATTAAGCTGATGTGTAAATAAGGAATGAATATAATTATAAATCTTTTATTTGTCCCCTTCTGTTGAACCTGTTCAAAACTGTCATCCGATTTTGTGCTTTCGATTATTACGTTATCAAAAAGTGAACAAAATTGTTCTGTTCTTTTTCCCCCCCTAACATTCTCTGCTTTAGTGTTCCCCTCCTTTAATGTGTGCAAGACAAGCGAATAGAGTTAGTAATGGATGTTTAATGAATTTTTTTCGCCTTACATAGATGTAAACTGAACCCTTATTTACTAATTTTTTCTTTTTAAAAATTTGTTACTATTTGAAAAAGGACCACATATTGGTCAGTTTTGAAGCTGAGGTGCTCTTTTTTTCCTGTGATATAATTATCTTGGTCGCTTTAGGTATAGTATCATGGTCTTAACTCTGTACGAGAGACCTGGCTTAGTGCTATGCCTGCAAAGAAATAATGAAGCACTAGGGTCAATGAATGCATGATACTATAGTTAAAGTGTGCTGGCACCTCTATCTTACTTTTGCATCTTTCTTTTTCTAGATTAAGCTTACGCGTATTCCTGCTTGTAGCTTTTGGTTGGTTTTGGACTTTTAAAAAAATTAAGTCTTATTTTAAAGAGTTAAAATGTATTTCGTTTGCTGAGGATAGTCAATATTGTCTGCTGGATTTGGTTTGATTTTGAACTCTTTTTAGTCTATTATTTGATTAACTAAGGATCGTCAATATTGTCTACTGGATTTATTTGTCAAATAAATTTTGTTTGGAGTTGCAATCAGATGTTCATAGATTTATACTTTCTAATGAACACAGGTAAGTTTCCAACTTTCAGGAAATGTCTTTGGAATATTTTTGATGCACATGTGTTGTAAAATTTTTTTGGGGATGAGTTATCAATTTGAATGAGACTTTAGTGATTTTGTCTCACTCCACACATTTATGTCATTGTGCAAGTTATCGTTTTAATACGATTGTTGAGAAATTATAGCGGTGTCTTATGATTCATATTGTTTAAGTAAATAGTGTTTTTTTAAGGGTTTCATTTTTTTTCCTAAGGTATTTTTCATGTCCTGCCTTCAGGCAGGATGAAGCACAGTGTGTGACAACTTTCACTGTGCAATGTTATGTCAGATTGTTCTTTATGGCCTCGTATTTCATTTGAAGACACTACTCTGTATTTTTTGCAATACTTGGTTTGGAAAAATACGTCTAGATAAAGGGGGTATTAAATGTATGGGTATAACATACTAATTTTAGCCTCCTGCCAGCCTGTGGCCAATCATATGGCTGGTTTATTGTAACATGCTATGATCAAGAATGGGGAAAAAATGGAAATGACAATGGTGATCATTGTCAACTGAAATAAAATTTTGTGTTCTTTAGAATTAAGCAAGGAAAAGAGGTATTTGCAAGTCATTTAATTAATTTTGATGTGCTGGTTCAGAATTTTATATTATTTGTATGTAAGAAAGAAGTTTTTGATAAGTTTATAAACAAGACATTCATAGCAGGCGAGTGGAAGACTGTCGTGATGTGAAGATGGACGAAAGGACTGACTTACAATTTGAGCTTATTTTCATATTACTGTACGTGTAATATCCCCGAAGAGTGATGCTTGCTGAATTCATGTGATCGCCTGATTATTAAATGCTCTACAGTTGCTTCTCTAAAGCCAGGTGTTTGAGTGGTTCACCTTTTTTGTATGATTCTTCTCAAATGCCAGAATTCATGATTGAATACCCAATGTCATGGATGGAACAATAATCTGGGTTTTAGTCACTTTCGTAAGAGTCAAAGCCTTTCAACAAAAGTTTTTACTCAGTTAGTCGGATTCAGAGTCCAGCAATGGAATATTGATGGTTGGAGGGTGTCGCTAGTAGCTTTTTGTTTTTGTATGTCTACTTTTGCTTTTTCTGCGGTACGTAATGACGTCTATTGTGTCAAAATACTTCTCTTGGCTTCAACTTGACAACTTTGGATTTATCTTATGATCTTAAAAGGATAGTAAAATTGAGCTTTTCTTCATCCTTAATTTGACAACTCTAGATTGTTACTTGTAAATGTTATGAACAAATGTGTTAATATAGAGATGCAAATTAAGAAATAAGATTTCTGTTTCCATAGTTGATCGATGAGATAGGTTTGTTATTTTTTAATGGTATAATTATAATAATTCATAGATGGTTTGGTGTCAGCATTTCATGCTCTAAGAGCATTGTTTGATTAAGATGACTGTTTATGAATGCTTTTTACCCCTGAATGAAAGTTTGGAAATATTTTCAGTTCTTGTTTTGAATGTAGATGTGTTGCATTTTTTGTTTATAATTTCTTTTGTCCATGTTCACCACTTTTGCCTGATCTGTTACTTTTCCTTTCATTTCCATGGTTTGTATTAACATAATATGTTAATGTTAAACCTGTTGTTGTATATCCTCAATAAACATATTTTTCTAATGTTTTATAATGAGCTGCTCTCTTGTATTTTGTTCTCAACTTTTTTTCAAGAGAAAGTTTGCATTATATCTATAAGTACAGATACTACCAATTCGACCCGTGACCTTGAAAATAAACACATTTGATTTTTTGAAAGTCACAGTCGAATTTAGTTGAATTTGGTCATATTGCGTCTGAATGGTAGCTTTTTCCCCTTCTATATGAATGAAAATCTGGCTGGCCTGGACTCAGTTCAATGAATCTGATTGGCGGTGTGCACTGGGTATAAAAGGACATTTCCCCAACCAGGTCGCACATAGAGATGCATGGATCAGGTGGTGGTCTCATCTCCTTCTTGTACTTTGACATTTCTTCTTGGTGTATTTCTTTGCCAAGTTGTGTTTAGTATCTGTGTTGTTGGTTTTAAAGTGGGTGGTCACCCACTGTCGCTCCAATATCAAACTCTACAGTGCTCTAACATAAATGGAAAAGAAAAGGATCAGGTTAAATAAGAGAACTGATTTTTTTTCTTTTTTTCTGTGTATGTGTTTGTGTGTGTGTGTGTGTGTGCGTGTGCTCGCGTGCTGATGATGATGCAGATGCTGTGACCTGCTTACCGACGGGAAGTACTGCAAAATCTGATGGGTTCTTTTTGAGCTGCGTGCGACAGATTTGGTTTTTGGGAACAATAGCAAGCAGTATTTTCTTTTTAAATGCAAATTTTCTATGCAGGAGAAACTGGACTACAGAACAACCAGAAAGAACCTTGGAAATGAAGTTTAAAAGTAGCTGACCTCTTCACATACTTGGGCTCTTAGCTCAACAACAAGCAGACACTTGATCAGGAGTTAAACAACAGATTTGGTACAAATCCCTCAACCATGAGCAAACTATCAAAGAAAGTTTGGTGTAACGGAATCTTGATTTCAAGATGAAAACGTAAATGTGCCAAAACGTGCTTTCTTGGGGGTGAGACCTGGGCAGAATACTCACATCAAGATCAAGAGAAATGATACACATTTCGTTTCATTTCGTCTACCATGGAAAATTCTGAATCCCATGCCAATTTTATGGAAATACAGGGGGGGAGAGCGTATAAGCCGATACGTGAAGTCAGATCAAAAAGATGGGTAACAGGAACCCATAAATGTTTAAATCTATCGTGGGGTATAGAAATGGTAGGATCATAAGAGAACGTATGAGACTGTAACCTCCTTCAAGTGTCTCTACAATAAAGAAAAATTAAACACTAAGACAGTCCTCACAATTGAAAGGGTTGTAAAATAATGCCACCGTTCTCACATCACTGTGTAAAAGAGCATCTTAAAATTAAGTCAAACCCGGGAAATTATTATTTTTGGCGTTTTTATATAGGGGAGGCAACCATGTTTTTTGTGTATTTTCCATGGCTCGAAAAGATTTATGTCCCTTCTTTCACCAATACTAGTCTTTTAAAAAGCAATTTGGTTTATACTTTAAAGTAGTTTTCTTGAATTACTGCCATTTGAAATTATTTTTACAAAAGAAATTTCTTCTGTTCCTTGTAAATTGTCATTGATCAAACACAACATTCGAAAGTGAACGGCAATCAAATAAGCCATAGCTTTACCTTACGTAGCGTTGTGCGCATGCGTACGGGAAGTAACTCACATTGAGGAAAAAAAATGGCGGTCCTCCTAACGAAAACATCGACTGCATGATTGCTTCACAACGTGAAGTTCACGGAGTCTGCTTTTTATATTTTTCTGAACTTTTTCATATGAACGGAATTTTCAGGTATATTTTGGAAAATCTATGATGTGTGTTTTAATGTCCAAGAGTCAAATGACATTGTCCTTTGTTCCCGAGAACAACAAAACACGAAGAGTCGGTATCAAAATCAACAAACTTTGTACAGACGTTTTCGCCAGTTTCGCGTGGAAATCTTGTTAGCGCTTCATGATGCTCTCAATATGAACACACTGAAAAGAGGTGTCATGCATTTGGCTACTCATGATAGTAAAGTAATCCACTTATAATAAGAAAATTTAGATAAAAGTTGTTGAGATGAAGTATATTTCTGAGCTTGGCGTCACCCCCTCTGTCTTACTATTATGAACTGAATCTTGACGAGTGTTTGTTGAACAACTGCTGCTGTTTGTGTACTAAAAGTTCAAGTCAAAATCAAGGTTACAAAGCTAATCTGTAGCTTGTAGTACAGTGTATAATCGGATTGACACTTCTTTCACCTGTCACAGTCGCTGCTGAGTGAGGCGATCTTTTACTTTAGCACATTAAATTCCCAAAGCCAAAGTCTACGTCTACTAGATTCTAGATCTAGATCTAGATCGGCCACCTCTATTCTCACCCGGGGTGAGAATAGTGCAGGCGGGTCTTGTGGCTATTCTCACCTGGTGCGCGTGTCAACAAATTTTGCGTTCACCCTAAACCACAGAATTCTACACTGTGATAAGAGAAAAATTGTAGAATTCTGTGCTGTGAACAAACGTTCCATTACAACTGTACTTGTAGCCTACTAAAAGCGTACAATTTTGTCTGTGGGCAGGGGAGAGAGAGAGAGTGAGAGAGAGAACAAAACAAAATGGCGACCCGCGTAGTTCGGCTCGATTCGAAAAGTTAAATAGCCGTAGCATCTTTATAGACAACCAAATTAATTTACTTTTGTGTTATAACATCATTTTTAACTTTGTTTTGGTCAATTTGATCGTCCACACCAATAGACAGTATTCAGAAAGAGACAGAGAGAGAGAGAAGAGGGGAGGAGTAGATCTTGCGAGAACTTCCGGGCGGGTGAGAATAGCCACTTTCATCTAGATCTAGATCTAGATCTAGTCTAGATCTAATCTCTGACTCAGACCTTTAAAACTTTGAACTGGGCCTAAAAATGTGCAAACTACCGTAATTTTGTCATGAACAGATCGTATAACAGTGATTTTGGTATTTTTTTACTTTCCCTCCCGTCTCACACTCAGCTACCAGTTGTCTATTTTCCACTAAATATTGATGCGCTGAACACGAATATCAACTTCATTTCCGTCGCAAATTAATAGTTTTTTTTTAAATATTCGATTGTTTTTAACCGAGATAGACATGCTTTGGACCAATCAGGGGGTTCCAGGGGGGCCTGCCCCACTGGGGTAAAAGAAAATCTGGAGGGTTACAGGGGGGCATGCCCCCCTGTTTTTACCCATAATTTGATATTTTACAATTAGATTTGAAATTGTCTTGAAAATAATTGCTTTGCGACAGTTTTAGTGGCTTTATGTGTGATCTGCAGCAAACAGTACAGTAGTTTGACCCCTGAAACAGTGCATCTGTGTGCGGGAGTGAAAGTAAAAATTTACCGTGATTTTCAGTCTTCCATCATGATTTTGGAAGCCATTTGAGTATAATCTTGATGACATAAAATTTTGGGTGCTTTTTCGGTAGTTCCCACCCCCCTTATTTGAGCCTGACCTACTTCTAGATCTAGATCTATACGTTTGATTCGCGGTGAGCTAAGAATCAAACCTAACAACAGCAAAACATTAAATTGTGGTAAAATTCAGGGGGGCATGCCCCCCTGAAACCCCCCTTCCTATTTTTGTAACCCCCCTACTCTTGGGGCCAAAACCCGTGAACAATTGCGGGGTGGGAACTACCGAAAAAGCGCCGAATTTTGATCCAGATCTGATAGTGGTCGCTCGTTTCGGAAGTCCTCAATTGAAGGATTTAACGTGCTAAAGTTTAAGATCACCCTGAGTGAAACTGCATCCCCTGCATGGGTGAGAATAGCGCAGCTGGCGAGCCATTTGGCTATTCTTACCCGGTGTGCGCTCATCGTAATAGCCTAGGCCAACCAGTGTAGCGTTCACCGTGAACCACTGATAACAGGTGTTGAATTCTGTGCCGTGAACAAACGTTCCAGTGTTCTTTTGTTGAAAGCGTGCAACTTAGTCTGTGGGCAGCGAGAGAGAAAGAGAGAGAGAGAGGAGTAGCGTGAGAACATCCAGGCAAAACAAAATGGCGACCCACTTAGTTTGGCTCGATTCGAAAGTTGAGTAGCCGTAGCATCTTTGTAGACGACCAAATTAATTTACTTTTGTGTTTTAACCCTCGTCCTGCAGGGACCGGGTTTATGTCACCCGATAAGCGTAAGTCGGCACCTCGCCTGCGTTCTGGTCTCACATCAGTCTGGCCCCTGAGCATCATCTCCCGTTCAATTCTGGTCCCACGTCAGATCCGCATTCACGCAGCTCAAGTGTGTGTGCGTCTAGTCTGCTTGAGTTTGTGTGCGTTTATAGGTTCTTCTAAAACCGCCTGCGTTGGTTTGTATCCGAGGCATACGTCTCTTTCAAAACACACCATGTTGGTAGCTCTAGATGTTCGTCAAATGAAATTTTAAAAGAAATTGACCCACTTAGACATGAGGAGCTCGAAAGGATAGTCAGGAAACAAGACTTCCTTTTTTCTCTATACAAAATCTTTCAAATGAACTTGATTTTGTTTGAAATGATACTAGAATCTCTACTTGATAAAAAATTAGCTTGTTTGATAATTTTGAATACCATTGTGCAGGTACAAAAAACAATTTGAGTGCAAAACATTTGGAAATTGACTTATATAAATATTATCCCCTTTTGAACCCCAGGTCATTCATATACAACAAGAGCGTCTAGAAAGGTTATTCGCGGGTGTAACTACTCATAATGTCTTATCAGCCTATGAGAGGGGGTTATTCATGTGTTTGTAACACTTTATAAATAGAAAGCTATGAAAGATACAGTGTTATTTTCATAATCGATTAACACATTTCCACGGTATTCATGGCGAAATCACACGTTTCCAGGAGCGCGCGCTGTACACCCACAGTACACACTGAGAGACCCCGGCGACCTGCCCAGAACGTCTGACGTAAGTGGTTGCTGATAAGATTCGCTTCTCAGCACAGACGCAGGATAAGAGTTAAAGTCACTTTTGTCTTTGTTTTTGTCAATTTGCTCTTCCACACCGATAGACAGTATTCAGAAAGAGAGAGAGGAGGAGTAGATCTTGCGAGGACTTCCGGGCAAAACAAAATGGCGACCCGCTTAGTTAGGCTCGATTCGAATAGTGAAATAGCCATAGCATCTTTGTAGACAGTCAAATTAGCTTACTTTTGTGCTATAACGTCATTTTTTCTTTGCTTTTGTCAATTTTATCATCCACACCGATAGAAGACAGTATTCCGAAATTAGGAAAAAACAGGTCTTGTTTGAAAAAAGGATGAGAATAGCTAACGCTGGCATGTCTCACCCAGGGTGAGAGGTCGATCGTATTTTTATTCTCACCCCGGTGAGGAAAGCCACTTCCGCCTAGGTTTGATTTGAGGACTTCATTGTCATTATTGGGTGATTTCGTAGTTTCGTTCGTTAAAAAGTCCAAAGCTGAACGTCAGAGACCCTGAATTGCCAGGTAATTGTTGAGGAGTGAACTAAGCGTGAGACTAGAAGGAAACACTGAAGCCAGAGAAAATAAAAATTCAAGCAAAGAATGGCGCTTTTTCGGCAGTTCCCACCCCCAATTATTATTTGTCGGTTTGGGCCCCTAGAGTCAAGAGTAGGGGTGTTTCAGGGGGGCTACCCCCCTGACCTAATAAAAATATGGATGGGGGGGGTTGAATTTTACCATAATTTGATGTTTTGCAGTTAAGTTGCATCCCTGTTCTTTGTGTTGCCTATTTGGGCATCAAGACTTCCGGATTTCTTCTCTGGATGTAAACAAATGGATCGTGGACTTTAACGAACGGAACTACAAGATCACCCATTATTGTAGCCGGGCGCAACGAATTGGTCTTGGTTGTTGATGAATGAGTGAGGGTGCGTTGCATGGTACAACATTGTCACTTAATCTGTCCTCAGATATTCGCACCCGCAACTTGCACGGGCAACTTAATACCCTCAGCGCAACTTTTGCCATTTTCGTGATTTTCAAAATCTTAGCCAATTTTCCGCAAAAGTTGGAAAAATAGCCTAATAACAGGGTGACTGCCAGGCCCCGGGACCGGAAATCCCCTGAGAATTTAAAAGAAATCGCAGAGACCCGGGAATTTGAGGAAATCTGTAAAATGGCCCGGGAAAACACAAAATTTCTCGAACCTGTGAAAAACCAAACTGGATAACGTCCTTGGGTTCATTTTTGCGGTGGCGATTGTGATATCCACTTGGCTTTTCCCGGTCTGAGAGTATGTTTCACGCAAACGGGCGGCTATTGCGGCAAGCGGAAGTGTGTGTTATACCCGAAGCTCGATCTACTTTCGCTTTCGTTACCCTCTTGAAATTTGTTGGTAGCAGTCTGGTTAACGCTACATTTGTAACATGCAGGTTGTGCATTACAAACGCTGTGTCGCCATGAAAATAAATAAATATTTGTCCTGTGCTGTCTCTTGCGGAAAAAAAGAAAGCTATACAAGCGCCTTGTTGGGCTTGCCATCGTAACCGGTCAGTGAACCTGTGCGTTTGCATCACACTGTGAGTACCGGTGCCAAAGTTCAGTCAAAGTCTGAGTGCTGCGAAGTATATAGGGCAGGGCTCCCGAATGGTGGGATTATTGATTTTTAAAAAAAGATACAGTCGGGGGAGGGGTGGGGTTGAAGGCAACACCAGATGACAAAAACTACTTGGAAGCGAATTTTAGTATTTAGAATTTTGATTATTGCGAGAGCTCGCTGCACAGCAAAGCTCGTGTTGGTGCAGGCCTTGTGAGGAATAGGGATCCGTCGTACTAATAACTTGTAAGCCGAGGGTTCGCGTTTCATTGAATGGGTGATAGTACGTTTGTTTCTTTGTCTTTGGGTTGTTTTTTTTATAAAGGTGAGACCTCATCAAGTGCATGCTTTTCTCTTGCCCCCCCTCTCTCTCTATGTCTCTCTTTGTCTCTTTTTTCTGTCTCTCGTTCTCTCTCTCCTGATACTAAATTACATGTACTTTTATAATTATATTTATATTATATTTTAGCTTTCTGTTCAAGATTCGCAGATTTTCAGTGTCACTGCATCTTGCCCTCCCACAGTTCTTACACCTCTCACTCTGAATAATAGGTCTACTTGAGCCATTCAAGGTATTACTCTATTTTGAGTTTGATCAATAATTTTTGTTTTTCACATTTATTATTTAAATCTTGACAGTCCATATTCTAGTGCTAGGCCTTTTCTCGGGCTCAAGACAAGATTCATTTTAAAATAGTTTATATAGAGGTGAATATGATGGGTGGAAAATATATAAATAATATAAGTAAGAACAGACTGAAATATACGTAAGTCACACAGTATCCCAGTGCCACGCTGACGTGTTGTTGACTGAATGTAATGTACCTACTTATGTGTGTATGTATAAATGGAGCATGCACTGTCATTGTTATAAATGTAACATGCCCCTTGAAAACGGATGAGCCCCTCTGGAAAATTGAGAAGCCGGGTTGACAGTCATCCTGAAAAAAACATTTCAGTCCCCCAACACCCCAACATATCTCCTGACCAGTCCTAGACCTATGTGTCTCTGGAAAGTTAGGTATGAAAACTGTCCATTACTCTTTTTGTTGTGTGTGAGGGGCAGTCTCACCGGTTGTCAAGGCTTGCCTTCTCAGGCTATGCAGATAGTAGCGAAAATTTCCCTTTGTTGAGCTTTACCTGTCGACGTGCGTTTGTACGTCTAAATTATATAGAGTTTAATATAAAAAACCTCCCTCATATAATGAAAGCGTGTGTTTGAGCGGAGTGTGCTTTTGTATGGCATTCATTTTCATTTAGGCGAAGACTACTGTAATGGATGGAGATGTGACTTTCTATTACAATGATGATGACTGCTTTTATGAAACTGTAAAAGGCATTAAATCTGAATGCAGGAAAAATATTGAACTCATTTAGACATACCTCTGTCTCTCTGTCTTTCTTATTTTTACTTTCTATTGTATGTTCGATTACTCATCGTTTTTTTTTTTGTCCCTACAGTTGGTTGTAGAGCTTAAGTTAAATGGCAAAATGAAGGCCAATATTTTTTTGTTTTGTTTAAACTTGATGTTCCGAAGTTCTTTCACTGCCAAAGAATAAACAAATTTGGAAGGTTCCCCTGTTTTTTAAAATAGTAAAAGCAAGTTCTAGTACTTGTAGGTTCTTATTAATATTGATCTTAACCCTATCCGTACGCCCTGGGGTCATTTTGTACCCCCGAGGTTGTATTCTTCACATTTTAGAATACTTTTAGAACGAAGGTCTCTTTGAAACTTTCAGTATTTCTCAAAAAATTATTTTGACAGACTGCTACGCAAAGCGTAAGGATCGGATTAACTAGTAAATTTACTCTTTGGAAAGTGGTGGCACAGAGTTCCCCACGTCGTATGGATACGATAGTAAAACACGATGTACGGATAGGGTTAAGTTTGTGTCAAAACTTTTGGCAAGAAGTAGAGAAATCTACCGCCTGCAAGTGTCATTTGAAGGCAGCAAATTTAGAAAAAGAGAAAATTATAATGACTTAGATTATGGTCAAGTGTAGTATTAACTTTCAGTATAGTGTGGATCAACAATGTTACTGTTAAATTATGTTTCTTTATGTACTCTTACATGTGTGGATTAGAATTTTCAGTTTATACAAATAGCATGCCATGTCTCAGAAAGATATTATATATTTATTTCATTTTCAAAGCTGTTGTCTGTCTTTCTTTTAATTGCATAAGTACCAGGATCTCATGGCTTTAACTTTAAGATTTTTTCAGACTTCAGAGTCTTACCTTTGTGTTTTCTAAGTCCAACAGGCGATCCTTTCCTTTGTTATTATTTAGACCACTTGTGTTTGAAAACTGGTAAATGGGGACTAAAATTAAGTGGTTACGGAAGGTCCTTTTACATTTTTTTTGGTGTTGTATCTCTAACATTGTAATTTGTACAAAGAGGTATGCTTTTGTGTTCTGTATGATAAGTGATCACCTGTCCTGATGCAGTTTCTTATGTCTCATTTCAGACTGCAAACACAATGAGTGAAGAGGAGCCACCACACCCTCGATTTAAAGGCCGCACTTACAGTCGCACAAGGCAAAGTGTGGCCAGTAGAGCATTTGATGAGGCAATGGACAGCAAAACTGTTCCTGTGAAAGCTGCCATGTCCGTCACAAAATGGGGAAATGCCAACTATATTCCTTTAAGAGGTTCTGCGGATGGGGCTTCAGAAGTGAAGAAAATGAAACTCGAAAGTAAAGGTGAAGACCCCTTCAGCTTTGAAACAGAGGATAAGAGAAAGAGCCCAACGAAAAAAGACTCTGCACCTCCCCCCGATATTCGTCAGACCACTCGCCTTCCAGCATCAAGGATTGTTGTAAAAGGGGAGGGAAATGCCAACTTTGAGAAAAATGCTGAAGAGAGAGAGACGACAAAGGCACCAGCATTCCGCACATACTCAAGGACGACTCCCAAAAAACCCGTGATAATGGATCAGTTTGTGGAAGTTGGAAAGACCACTGTCACTGCTTCAGGAGAGCAAGTTTTTCTTCCTTCGACCCTCAGTCCTAAGAAGGAAATGAAGAACAAGGAAGAAGATGATGATGATGACATTTTCCCTGTTCAGTTCAAGAGGGATCCTCTGAAAACTTACTCTGGTGAAGTAGTGACCCCAGTGGACAAACCGGATTCTCCCCCACCCAGGAAGTCTAGCTATAAGCGCAAGGGCGGTCCGAGAGGTAGAAAACCTCTGACTGTGACTGATCCTGACTTGATAGAAGAATATAAGAGAAACTATGCTGCTCAGCAGCTGAAAGGGAAACCCGATACCTCGACAGGCGGCCTAAACAACAGTATGGTGGTGTCTAAGAAAGAAGTGGCCAATGAAGACCAGGGCACCACTTTGGTTGTTGTTTGCAAGCCCAAAGCTCAACTAGAGAAAGGAGAAGTTCAAACCAAATATTTTACCAAGAACGCTAAAAGTACTAAAGGCATTGTTGTTCCTGTAGCTCCTGATTCTGCGTCCTCCCAAGAAACTGTTGTCAGCGGGGAGAATGGGAACGGTGAAGCCTCAGAGTCCTCAACGCCAAACTCTGATGCTGTGCCCACTCGCAGCAGCGCTCGCCTGAAAGCCACACCTAGTGTTGCAGCACACGTCGAAGGCTCTCCTTCCACCCCCGGCAGCACCAGCAGCCTCACATCCTCCTCCTCCCCAGTGTCCCCAGTGAAGCGCGGCACACGAGGTAGAACCTCTGACGCTGACTGGGGGTCTGCTCAGTCCGGGACGACTACCTCGGCTGCATCTAGTGATAATAACTCTCAAGGCGACGGGTCCTCAGGGAAGACCGGGAAACGGTATAGAATATTCAAATCTCGTGCCCCTGCCCCTGCCCCAGTGGTGGAAGACGAATTGAAACCCCCAGTTTTCAAAGATGAATTGGAGGAGAGTCCATTGCCTAGCAGTGATCAGGCTGTTGAAAGCGAAAGCTCAGAGCAGGTTGCCTCTGAAAATAACGAAAAAATTGAGGAAGAGCCGTTTGAAGAAGAAAGTATGGACACTGGTGAAGCTGAAGAAAAGTCTCCCTCTTTCACTCCAGAAGATTCATCACAGTGTGCAGACAGTGGTGAAATTGGTGCAGGAGACGTTGAGGACGATTCGTCCAACGTAAAACCTATCAATCCAGCAGCCGCCAGAGAGTCTCTGGCTGCTCGTCTCAGGAATATGGAAAAGGGCAACGAATCTGATTCCACTGAGCCAGATAATGTGTCAGAGTGTTCAGAAAACTTTCAGTCCCAGGAGTCCCCATCCAATAGTCAGTCTACAGCGGAGGAGAACAGCCAGAAAGAGGCATCTAATGTTGGAGCTGTCCGTAGATTTTTCAAGAGTAAAAAGTCGTCGTCATCTGGGTCAGATTTACAGAGGAAAATTTTTAGTGGAAGTCCTCAGAAGGTAAGCATCTTCACTTTGTACCATTCATTTATTAGAGTACTAGTATCAAAATCAATATTTAGAGGTCATCATCAGCAATCATGGCTGGTCATTAATTTCTTTCCCTGGATACTCTATCAAAATGATGTTGTTATCCTGGTCTTTCTGTCATGTCTGTTCAAATGCTCTTAAGAGTAAGTTGTTCTTGATTTACCCCTGCCTGTTTTGTCTTCTATTTTTTCAGTGAGGATTAGATGTTCGAGACCTTTATAGATGAAAATGTCCCACGTAATGTACTTCATTTGTCTTTTCCACATTGGTTTCTTAGTGCATGGCCCAGTCAGGCTTTGGCGCCACCTATTTCATGTTATGGGATAAAAGACAAAATCTGATTGTTACTAGGCATATGTGATAAGGTGCACGCCATACTCTGCAAAAATATTTCAGATGGCCTCCTCATTTTTTGTTTGCCATAAAAAAAAGTTTCATGTGCACTGTGAGTATAAAAAGTGTTACAGCTTTTTTTCCTTCATATCCTTGTCGAATTTAAGCACTCACAACAGTACCTTCTTGTATGAATTTTTTCAAGCATCCCGCACAATTACATTCCTTCACATACTGTACATTTTCATTCAGTAACTCATTCTATGACAGTTGCCTTTGCTCAAGGCCAGTGATTGTACATGGACTGCAAAGGTTTAATTAAAGTTTTATTCTTAACATTGTGGGCTTAAAATCATATCTACCTTGAATCATAATCCTTGGCGTGCTAAAGATGAAAGTTTTTGCCTCTATTGTTTCTTGAGTTTTTGATTTTTCTGAAGTCTTAAGAAAATTTTTGCATAATAGACATTCGTGAATTACCGGTTAGGCAGAAGTTCAAATTCATAAACAGTGTTCTGCAGGTCATCTTACAAAAGTACACATATGTTGCAAAAGTGCCATTTCGCCTTTAATCCCTAGACAGGCCAGGAAGGGAACAGCATTTAAGTTCGTTCATTTCCATTTGAAGTTGCCAAGATCAGCACACAAATAAATGGCACCATTTTGATTATTTTGACGAATGTTTGTAAGTCTCAGGTTAATTATACTAAATTAAATCCTACCTGTCCTGTCCTGGGCAACAACGTCATTGCACACCGGACAGGTCCTTAAGTGCTCAGTTCCCCCCAGCACCAAAGCCCGCAAGGTATCCATACTTTTTGTTACAGTGGCTGTCTGATTATGATTAAATTAAATCATTACAGTATGCTTACATCTAGCAAGGGACTTAAAAATCAATACCAAACTATATTTAGTATTTCTTCTCTCAATGCTAATAATTTAACTGTTCTTTCTTTTTTTTTTTATTGGTCTCGATCTATAGCATATAAATTTTAAATAAAAATAACCTTTGCTTTCTTTTTTCTGGTTATTTCTAACTCTGTTGTTGTGTATTGAACATTGCTGTATGGAATGCATAAATTGTATATTTAGATCTTATGTGGTTTCCTTCAGGACACAAATGTAAAATGTTTCTTACGTTTTCTATGGAAGGTTTCTGCTACGCTCAAGGCTTTTATAGGTTTCTTTAAAATACTTTGTTTTATTCTGTATTTTTCTTTTTCTTTTTTTTTTTTGGTCTTGTCCAAAGAAGTGATATGATTTGATTATCTGTTATTGTTGTTTTCTTTTTGATGAGACACTTGTGTTTGCTTAAGAAAATATTGTTTTGTCTTTAGTCTCCAGCAAAAGCTACATACAATGCTCGGTCTTGGAACAATGATTCTGAAAGAGATGGAGAAAAAGAGGTAAGTTTCATGTTCTGTGACTATGCTGTACACTGCTTATCTTGTTAACTTAACTAACTGTCTTTTGGGTTAGAATATTTACTTACATAAAGTAATAATAGAATCTGTCCTAGACAGGTGGTTGTCTTGGCCAGTGTCATGTAAAAAAGGAATGTGTGGGTGTGTGTGTGGGGGGGGGGGGGTCGTTTGTACGATGATTGTCTTGGAGAAGTGGTGGTTAAAGCAGAGGTATGACTATTTCTCGATGAAAACTATGAAAAGTATAGTGTTTGAAAGAATATACTTCATGATTCATAGAAAAAATCTTGTACTTTTGTATTCATATATGGGCTGAAGTCCTGGAAAGACTAGATCTGAATCTTAATGTGCTGTTGTGTTCTGAAATGTTCTGGAAAATTGACTAACCTATAGCATGAAAGAAAATAAATATATTTTCTTCGTGCTCCTATGTTGATCTGTTATTGCATTTATGCATTGATGATTGTTTGCTTTCTCTGCTAGTCTCAAGCACATTCTCTAGGTCTGCGTATGGGTATGACACTAATTGTGCTGCAAGTGCTGTAATTCTTATTAAAAGTAAACCCATCCCTCATTCATTTTTCAAATTTTTTTCTCATCACAGGGACCAGTTCCCAAAGGCAGCAAAAGGAATAATAAGACAGATGATGACGACATTGTTCTGGTGAAAAATTTGAATAAGTCTCAGTTGAAAAGAGAAGTGCATTGGCCAGAGACCAAGTTTGATGAGGCGTATACGTCGCTGCGAGTCAGCAAGACACACAAAGAAGTGAGTGAGATGAATTACGTGTTGACCAAGAAAAATTATCTTTTTGTTTCTGTAATGTTTGTGTGTTTATTAGTTTACTAGCACATACATGTGTATCGTTGAATGGAAATTATTGCTATTCATTTATAGTAATAATAATAATGAAGATAATTTCTAGAGCGCCCACTCCCGTGTGAACACAGCTCTAGGCGCTTTACATAAATGTTTTTAGGAACAATATTCCCACTCACATGTACATGTACGCCAAACACATGCACACACGCACACTCCTACTTGCTTATCACACGCGCATGCTCACACATTATTACGAAATGAGCACATACAAATAACAAAGTAATATACACAAATTAAAAAATGAACGTCCTTTGATGCTGTCACAGTGGTCTTTGATTAGTGAATTTGCTTAGTTGGATTATATCCTCTGTCCGTTTAGTCCTTTCACTACCAAAGCTTCTGTGTTACCCTATCCTACCAAAAAGCCCAAAGCAATTTTGGGCCTGGCAGTTTGTGGGTTGAATTGTTGATCTTGGTTCAATTTTTAATTTCATTGATTTTGATTAGTTCATAGTGGTCGTCATTAACCTCCCTCAACCTCGACACCAAAGACTTCATTTTTGAAGTCATGTGACCATGGCCAGTTTTGTATTCTCAGGTTTGACCCTCTGTTGTTTTTAGCTTCTTGATTGATACCACGCTTCAAAATATGTTTAGGTGGTTGGCGGGTGCTCTGGTGTGGTTTGCTCCTTCTTTCCTATAAAAAATAGATCGTCTCTATCTCCCCTCCTTTTTTATGTTTGTTACTCTCTTGCAACACTTCTAATCATACTGTCTAATCTTCGGCACTTATATGACCTTATTGCGTTGCAAGTGCCGCAAAACTCTTACTAAAACTTTTTTTAAATATGTAATTTATGCCTCCCATTCGCTCTTCCTTTTTCAGCTGTACACCGTTGTCCACAATGTTAAGCAGACTCATGAAGTGCAGGAGCTGGGGGAGACTCAGGATTTCATGGACGACGTCGATTACCTCCTGGACAGTCTGCAGGACACTAAGTCCACCTCTATCCGTTGCCTTAGGTGGGTGTATCCATTGGCTTAATTACTTTCGTAATTTTGTGTTACGGTGGTAAAATTTCTAAACAACGTCAGTTGCATTTGGGGCAGAGTTTTTAGGAGAGCTGTTAAAGTTATTGATAGTTCACTCCACTCTTTCCTTGAGCTTTACAGTATCAGTGTTGTGATAACAGCAAAGAAGATCACTGCTGGCACCAAACACCCATCCAATTCAGAGTACCAATCATCTGTTAAAAGTAAACGTTTTATTTTCTTAAAGCAAGAATCAGCAGGTATAAAGATTCATTCATACCGTCATCACTGCAAGATATTCAGTCATTGTCATCTGTGCTAGAGTAACATCATTTTGTATGTTCATCTAGTGATTATTTGTTTATGTGGTTCTTTGTATATAAGTATATGTGTGTTGATGTGAGCATGTGCTTGTATGTATTAATCATGCTGCAGCAAATTTCTCTTTGTGGGGATCAATTAAATGTTATCTTATCCTTTATATTGGGTTGTGTCTGCAGGACTTTTTGTGACAGTCTTGTGATATAGTATTGAGTCCATTAAGCAAAGTATGATTTTGCTCTCTGTGAATCGTTGATCAGTGCAAAAGTTAAAATTTTGTTAAGTGAAATTCGAGTAGAAGAAGACATCTTGTGCATCAGTTGCATCTTTAGACCCTGTTGTGGAACTTTACAGAAGTAACTTTTTTGTGTGTGTTCAATTAATTTCTAGTGGTGTCCCTTCTTTAGATGTCAGTTTAAAAGTACTAAAACATGAACACTTTTTTCTTTTAGAATTGCCAAGTCTGGAGAGCTGTTTTGTGACTCTAAGATTTCTTATGTCTGTTAAAGAAGTGTTGCATGGTAGGAATTACTTTGATGCCATGACACTATGTGGATGCTGTAGATTTATTTTCACTCTGTGAAACTTTGTTTATGCCAGGTGAACTGGCCTTGATTTGTTCTGCTGGGGAGGAGGGTGACATTGTGATTTAACTCTGCATAGTCCTGTATGTTAATCCACTGACTCGTCTGTAATACTCATGTTCATGGCATGTTTTCTTTTTCTTTTTCAGTTGCCTAAAGCTTGCTGGCAAGTGTATTATGCCTGCATTCCGTATGCATATCAGAGCTCATGGAACTGTTACCAAAATTTTCAGTTTGCTTCACGATGCCTGTACTGATCCAGTAAGTAATATGTGAAGATAATTAAGTGGTGTCGGTTGTTTTCTTCATCTTTGTCTCTTGTTGATTTGAGAGATTATATTAATAAACGACTACAACATTATTCTTTAATATACATATGAACAATGTGTTTTATTGTTTTAAAAATTGACTTCATTTATATATATATTCATCAGAGTGTCTAGACTTATTGACATCCTTGGGGTTTTTTTCCCAGAGTCTCGCCTTGAGTACCTCCGCCATGATGTTCATGTTGAGTCGTGATCGCCTAAATATGGACCTGGACCAAGAGAGCCTCAATCTGATGCTGAGGCTCAACGAAGTGGACGCTGCGGACAAGTCCTCGGTGGATGCTTCCAGCTTGAGGGAGCTTGAAAAGACAAAGCAACGTGTTCAGGAGCTGTTGGCGCAGCTTCAGCAGGAGACAAATGCAAGAGAAATTGACCTTGGTTTTGTATCGGTAAGCTTTTTTCCATATATGGCAATTCTTTTACTTGTTTGTGTATCAGTGGTGTTAAATGTGGTAGGATAGGTTGGTCTGTCAAAAAAACAGCCTTAAAAATAGCATTGGAGTGGAGTGCCAACAATTTCTGGCTTAAGTAATACAAGTTGAATTATGGCAAGCCCTTCAACACATTTTCAGTAAGAAAGCTAACAGTTTTTAGGGTCAACATAATTTTAACAGTTCAATGAGACGTTTCCTATAGATGTGTAATGGCGTTAATTTTGCCTTTGCTCTGTCTCGAATTTTGTTCTGGGCCTCTCAGAGTTTCTGTTATGTCATGTATGCAAATCAATTGAATACCCATTGGGCTTTTTGTTCTATGCTTGTGGGAATGATGTTAAAAAGTTGAAGGTCTGAAAGTATCCCTGATCTCTTCTGTTCCTCCACTATTTAGGAAACATTTTATTTTGTCTGTTGGAATGTTTTTAACCTGAGATGCTGATGAGTGATCAGGTACTCACATCTTGTTTTAAGGTTGGCTTTATTTAATTAAAAATGTTTACCCTGTCTCTTTTTCAGACTGGCAACTTAGCTATGGAGTCACTTCTCAGTTTAACCTCTCGGAGGGCTGGGGAGTGGTTCAAAGAAGAGTTGCGGTCGGTTGGTGGATTAGATCACATTGTTGACTCTGGTAGGTGATGGTTTAAGAGTGAGAGTCAAATTATTCTTTTGGGTTTAAAAACAAACAAAAATTAGAGATCCATAAAGCTTCCAATACTTGCAAAGAACGTGTAAGGAATAATATGGCTTGTCATGTCGTTTAATAAAATTATAATGTGAATTTTGGTTTACATTTTTGTTTATGGAAGTATGATATTGTTAATTTTTCTTTGGTTGGTTCATGATCTAGAGAGGGCTTTTTTCAGAGCTCTCTATGTCTTAAATGACAATGACAAACTTTATTCATCTCACAGGGAGAAATTTGTCTTGGTCGTTAACAATGGCAGTAGACATTACAAAGGTTAGGTACACTCACGCATTCGCCTAACAAGACAGGACTTTAGTAAATACATGTCTCACATGCTGGGACAACTGATGGATGTGTATGATGTCTCACTTTTTTTGTAATGACTTTTGTAAAAGTTCTGGCAATTTTTCCAGTCTGCTGGCACTTATTATGGTGTCTGTCCTTCTCTGTCTTGCTCAAACATTTGATCCTTCTTTAGAAAGTGTTAAGCATGTTTTCTAGGCTTGATTATGTTGAAGTTATGAGTAGTGTTTTCCACTTTGAATCTATTTGAATGTAGCCAGCAGTTGTAAACACCAGGAAAGTGATATTTTATTAATAGTATTATTATTACTTTTCTTTTCATCCCACATGAGTTCTAAGTTTTCCTTTGTTGTTTCAGTGGCTGCATGTGAGAAAAGTCTTCCAGAGAATATGTCAAAAGATATTTACAAGGTTTTGCCTATCCTCCGCAAACTGGATAGGTGTTTGCGTGTGCTAGAAAATGTAAGTACTGCTTGTTAAGAACAGAAATATGCAGCGGGAAGAAGACTTCTTCAATAAGTTTTGCTTGTTTTGTCTTGCAGTTGTTGGATGTCCATTAAGTTGGGGAATAATTTGTGCTAATTTTAAAAAAATGATTATCTATTAGATCTGAATTGTTTCACTGTCTGTCATTTTTCTTTACTTTCTTAAAACTATTTAGCAGCATAGGGCTTATGACTTAATCAGTTTGTCTCGGTATACTAGTTGAAATGGAAACTATGTTTGTTTTGATGTTTCCACAAGGTCAATGAATTTGTGAATCAAAGCAGTTCAAAAGTGTTCATAGTAAAAGAACATGTTTGTACCAATGCCCAGAAGGTGGTTGGCGGGTGCTCTGGTGTGGTTTGCTCCTTCTTTCCTACCAAACATCTGTCATCCTGATCTCTCCTCCTTTTTTTGTTGTTGTGTTTGTTACTCTCTTGTAACACCTCTAATCTTCAGCACTTATATGAACTTATTGTGTTGCAAGTGCCGTAAAACTCTTGCTAAAACAAACACCATTGTCCTTTTGATATAATATATTAATGCATTGTTTTCTCTTATTTCAGATAAGCTTACAGAATGAAGACAATCAGAACTACTTGATCTCTTACAAACAAGCCTCTTTGTTATCATCCTGCAGCCGGTTAGTATTTGAAAACATTTTACTGGCTTTGCATTGGTTATGGTACATGCCTGTCATAACATGGGATGTTTTTTGGGGGGGGTTTTCGGTGTTTTTTTGTTGTTTTGTTTTATGTGCATCTATTTGTTTTGGGGTGTAATTATATGTTGGTAGGAGTGAGTTTGTGTGAATAAATAGCCGAGAAGTTACTCTGTGGGCCTTGAATAGCCCAGGTCCTTTTATTTATTTTGTACTTCGTACCTGAATTGTGGGGAAAACTTTGTGATGGTAAAAAGATGTTTAAAAAGAAAAAAAAAAAGATTTTCCTTTTTTAGACCTGCATGTTTGCCGACAATCGTCTGAAATCCGACAATCGAGGCCCACCTGTACCATTCAATGTGCGAAGTGTGAGGCCTGGCCGACTGCCAGCGCCCCCTTTTTCTCCTGTCGGCTTTGTCGGCCCTTTCATTTTTGTGCCGACTGCTGACGTCGGCGTTTCCGACATAATTGTCGGAACCTGAGTAGAAATACGAATACGAAATATGACGACCTAAGTTATCTACTTTCAGTTTCGTGCTCGAGCGGCCATTTTGAATTTCGTTTGTTTACTGATTGTTCAGATCGTGTGGATTCTTTCAAGTCCGACTCACTTGTTCTACTCTAGATCTAGATTTATAGATCATTATAGACCTCAATGGAGGATTCATATTCCAATTCTATTGTGTCAAACCCTATTTTAGGTTGTGCTGTAATATTAATGTTGGTAAAACGCATTTTATCAGGTGCATGAATTATTTACTTAGAATAAAGATCTAATCTAGACTCAGCTGAGTCCCTCTGTTTGAAATCGGATGCGGATTTCTCGTTCAAGGCCTATTCCTATTCACTTGTTCTACTAGATCTAGATCTAGAAAATTTATTTAGATCACTAGATCTATAATATAAATAGATCTATATGGAGGATTCATATATATTCCAATTCTTTTGTATTATTGTATCAAACTCTTTATAGCGATGTAGGCCATAATATTATTTTGCTCCTTGTTTGTTTTGGAGTGTGCTTTTTTGTTTTTTTTTACTTGTGCTGGCCTTTTTACATGAGGGCCGTTACAGGTTCTTTTTTGGGGTAGGGTTTGGGTTAGGGTTAGGTCTCTTCTTTATTATGTTTGTTTGGGTGGTGGCTCGTTACCCGGAAGTCCTTCCCTTTATGACACCCACAATTTAAAAGCTGTTATAAGTTATGGGGGGAGGGGGGGGGGGGGGTGCGCAAAATTTTCAGACAATCTAGTTGAGGCTCACATGCAGGTCTACTTTTTGTTCAGTGCCTTTTTGTTTCTATCGCTTATCAGAACTCTGCGCTTGTGTCAACGACATATGGGCGAGTACAAAGTGCTAGAAAATCCAGAGGAGGACAAGGCTGTGAAGGATCTGCCTGGATACACTATCCTCACGTGCATGCTGGCAGTTCTGAGGGTGCTGCTCAACATTACACATGAACGCAGTATGTACCTGTTTGAATATTGTCCCATAATTTATATAGAACAAATTTTTTTTTTTTTTAAAGCAAAGATGGTCGAACCTGTTAAACGGCCGGCTGTATAAGACAATCCCCCGGACAAAGGTCGACATCCCATTCCTTTCCCCCCTTGTATTTTTTTTTCTACTTTATAATGACACTATGTAAAACGTCCATCTGTCCTAAGACAACAACTTTTCTCCTTGACAGTGGGTGGCCATCTTAGACAATTTTGACTATATCAATGAAGTACATGGTTGAAAACCAATGCTCAGAGGTATTTCATATTGTGACCCCTTTGCTATTGAATTTGTTATGAAAATTTGAATAAAAAAATATAAAATCCAAATGCAAGGTAATGGATGAACTTTGCTCGATACTCTTGTTTTGTATCTGTGCCTCTAATTACTTTTAATGAGGTCATTCTCTCTCTCTCTCTTTCTCCAGAGCTCGGTAACTTTAAAGAGTCAGAAGAAACTTCCCTGATGGAAGCCATCGTGAGGTGTTTGACTGGCACTCAGTGGTGCATTCCAGTGGAGCAGCGCTTTGATCTGTCCATCTTGGTACGTTTACTATACAGCGTAGCAAGCACAATAGAGCAATCAGCAGGATGCAGAAATCTTTCCGTTATGTACAAATTTCGCTATGTGCATGTTTCAAGTACAAAGAATATGCATGCATAGGAACAAGTTTGGGATCTTCATGCATGCCTTATCGTAGTTTGCAAGTTTTTGAGCTCAGCAGGGTTTTGTATTTTTGAAAGCACTGAAATCCAGTCGTGAAAATAGGAGTGGGTGCAAATTGAGACTTATCTTACGAGACATGGGCATTAACTGTAATGAATTTGGGCTCAAATTAATCCTTATGTTTTCAGTTTTCATGTAAATCATCACATTGAAAGCACTGAATCTTAGTCCAGCAGAGATAATTTCATAGATAATCTCAGCTGTCGCAATGTGAACCATCAACATACTTTGCCCATCTATGCAGAATATATGAACAGCAACTACATAAACAATTGTACTTCTGTAGTGAGTAGAAAAAACTGTTATTTTCATAAACAAATTTTGACGGTTTTCTTTTATTGACAGTCAACACCATATTTTTCTTTTGTAAAATCTATGTGCTTTGTTCATATTGTAATTGTCCTTTTATGTTCCTTTCTTTTGATGTCAAAATCAAGATTTCCACTCCCAAATACTTTTGAAGTGATGGGTATTTTTTGTTGCGACTGAATAATATTTATGCCCCCGGAAATAGATTCAGTCCAAACCCTGGAAAAAACGAGTAGAAAAAAGAGCTCAGATACTCTTTTTCTCATGTGAAAATGAAAAACTCTATACAGGTTTTCATTTTTTAATTTGTTCTCACTTTGGAGCCAGATATGTTGGCTGATTCAGCGATTAGAGAGTGGGAAAACGCTGGCCCTTGCTCCCTTGTTCCGCGTAGCTCTGAGCAATATTAGAGAGTGGGAAAACGTCTGCTCTTGTTCCCTTGTTCAGAGTACCTGTTCATTTACGTCTTCAATGTCCACTCAAAGGGGCATAACCAGCAACTACCAAGTGCGCCGGAGTTATGTCCCTTGTGTACCTTGCAATGTTGGCTTGTTTTCCTTGGTCTAACATGGGTATTTTGTTTACCTAATGAAGTCAAAAAGCACATATATTTCTGATTCAAATTTTTTGTTAGTTCCTCTTTTTTTGTTGTTGCTAGCAATACTAATACTGAGGATGCAAATGTTCTGTAGACCATGTTTACTCTGTGGGAGTTGGGTTGGAAATTTGTTTCAATTTCAAGTAAAAATAACCTTCACCTGGAGTTGATTTTTCATGTGACTAAAGGAGCAGAACAGGTTTTCTTTGTTCTGCACTTTGTCAGAAAATTGGGTGGCTTACAGAGACATTTGCTTCCTTTGCTACTTCTTTCCTATCAAATATCCATCGTCCTTATGTCTCCTTCTTTTTTGTGTTTGTTACTCTTTTGTAACGTCTCTAATCTTTCACACTTACATGACATAACTGTGTTGCAAGTGCCGTAAAATACTTTGTAAAAGCGCGATTCATTTCCAGTGCTTGGGTCTGCTGATCAACCTTGTGGAAAACCAGGTGGCTAACCGCAAGAAAATGATGGAGATGACCACACAAGTGAAGTATACAGAGAAAGCTCAGGCAAAGACGATGCATGTGTTCAATGCTGTTGTTCAGGTAATTTGGTGACTGATTTTGTTACTGTTGCTCGAATACGATTTCTGCCCTTTTTTTTCTTTTGGTATTTTACTTTAAGAGGTTGTGGACGTGGAAGACCAGTAAATGTTTTTCTTTTCTCTGTTTAAAATCAGTTTTGTTTTATTGTAAAGCTTTTCTATAATGAAAAATGGGGTTTTAATTCAGGTTTATGTGCTTTTTGTTTCTGTGAAGTGTCCCCATTTTGCATAAAGACTTTTCAGCTTGTAGAATTACATATATGATATTCTTGTCACACTGTTAGTTTTTACTCATTTATTTATTTAATTTATATTTAATAAATTAATTTTGGTGTGCTTGTTTGTAGAAATCATGCTAAGCTCTAACAATTTCTCCCGTTGTGCTTGTAGTTGTTTGTCCAAAGAGAGGAGGCAGCCCGGGAGATGGAGGAAGACACTGAGGGTGCCCCTGACACCTCTACAGCCGAATCTCCCAATAAGAGTGGCGAGTGGAAGGAGTCTGACTCTGGCATTCAGTGGATAACCAGCAACTTGAAGAAGGCGAAGGAGGAGCAGGAGAAGGAAAAGGAGAAGGAGAAACAGTCGGAGTCCAAAATTGTGGAAGAAGAGGGGAATCAGAGCATTCTGGAAGACGACGAGGAAACATTCACCAAAGGTAACATATTTTTGAAATTGAAGCAGTGTACTCCTATGAGTGTATGCTCAGACACTTTTTAAAAATCATGTCTCAAAATACTTAAGATATGTGCAATGAATTAAGTTTGTAAAACGAATTGCTTTGTGTGGGAACGCATTTTTCTTTTCTTTCAATATAGGTTTGACGCTTGGATTGTGAAATTTTCAGCAGCAGTTCTTCATATGATTTCTGTTTGACTTGAGAGTAATGTTTCCTTTATACAAATTTGTTTTGTTTTAGGAATTTTTTAAACAGAACAGAAAAACTGTAGTTTATGGTTCTTAGAGTATTTCAGTCAGCTGTCTTGAAAAGAAACTTTTGGAGGAGAAATTTAGTTAAACGACTGGCGTGACTTTAGCTGGTGTTTATTGAACACTTATGTTATAAAATGAACAGTCTGACACAGAGTTTTCTTTTCCTGCTCAACAGCACTCCACAAAGCTGGAAAACACATGGAGAACAGCATTGTGGCTTCATATGCTGGACTCTTGCTGGGAACCACCATCATGGATAACAAGGTTTGTCCCTGTGGATAGGAAATTGAAACTAAAAAATATTGCTATTTCAGAGCTAAGTCACTTTTCTGAGTCTTGAAGAACTAAGCCTCTCAACTGGCTATCTGTAAGTCAGATGAGTAGTTGTTTCCATAGTCCTTTTAAGAACAAGAAATTGGGCATAAACTCTTTGTCATTGTGAGACGAGCAACTGGCTGTTGGATAAGAATGAGTATTGCTTATAATTATTTTGCCATCACAATCAATTGTGCTTTTGCTTTTGTCTCAGTCGTCTAAAGGATGTACAGAATTTGGGAATCGAACCCCAGATTATATAATCCCAAGACTGACTACTTCACCCTCCAGACGAGAGCGATCTTTATTTTAACACTGTGCTTTCATTTGGAGATGTCAGTCATGTGTGTATGTAGATATATAATTTATGTTAAAACAGAGATTTTGAGTTAGAAATAGTGTTTTAAGTTTTCAGCACGGATATTGTTGTATTGTAGTATGCTTTTAATCATTGTTATTTGAATATTTTTGTTGCTGTCAATGTCCCCAGGAGTATGCTGACAAGCTTAAAGAGCTCATTCCAAACAGTGATCTTGGTCCAATGATTAAAATACTGAAAAAATTCCTTAACTTCATGAGTCTCACGGTAAGAATGAGAGATGTTTGTCTGTTGAGCCTCTGTTGTGTACAGTTTTCTTTAATTTGTAGTTCAGGAAACAAACTGATGGCATGTTTACTCATGTTAATGGGGAAGAATTTTCCTTTGAAAAGGGGCAAAGCCAGATTCTTAATTTGTTGATGCGGAGAGTAAACACAATTGTTAAGTCTAGGGGATTTTGTGGGACTGGGTGATTTGCCACCCTTTGAATATTACAGGAGAACTTATTTTAGGCATACTTTGGAGTTTGTATTGTGACAAAAAAAACAACCAGGCTGCTTATTTCGCGAGATAGTTGCATTTTTGTTTGGTTCCCTGTCTTTATGTCTGTCTGTCTTGTTAAAGATATTTAGTAGTTATGTATTAGTCATGGGAATGCCTCTTTTCATTTAGGGTACCTTAAGTATGAACATAGATTTTAAAAGAATTGTCTGAAATTTGTGTAATGTATAACATGTTAATTGTGATAAAGACTGAACCCTGAAGAATCAAAGCAAAACCATCAGCCGTACTTTATAAATTTGTTGCTTTTTTTTAGTAATCTGCATGAAAAGATATTAAATACAGAAAATTTATAAGAACAGAAATTTGTGTGTGGACGTTTGGTCATTTGATTGTTTGTTTATTGTTTTATAAATTCATTCGTTTTTTCTTTATTTCTTCCTCAGACGGCATTTGGCAGCACTGATGTTAATGGCATCACCCGTGTTATTGATGTCCTAGAGTCTGCATGATTGTGCCCACTGCTTGTTTTGATATGATTTGTTTTTGTGTATAGATTTCTTCTTTGAGTGGATAAAAAAAAGTTGAGAAGGAGATTGACTGGAGTGGTGTAACCTTACTGTACATATAGCAGATACCTCTTTTTTCCACACGCCGGTAAATGTTCAAGACAGTTTTCTATTCAGATTCGTAAGACAGAGGAAAGTGTGACATCATTTTAGGAAATAAATGTTTGATAGTATGCCTGGCTCATCCAGTTGACGTGAACAGTACCATGAGTATAAGTTGGAGGAATATATTTATTTGAAGTGGCATTTAATTGAATTTAATTGAAAGGTTTTACTGTGCCAGCAAAATTCCAGTGAGAGGGATGGCTGTTCATTTTTGTAATTATTTTCATTCTCAAACTTCAAGGCAGATTATTGCTAAGAGAATAAATGGGTATTTCTTTTGTGTGTTTTGTTTTTAAAAGTTTTTTCGTGCGATTATTTTTATGTTGATAGACAGTAGGAATTTTTAAATTAAGTTGCTCATTTTAGAAAAATGTGACACCCATGCTTGTTCCATCCTGTTCTTCAAAAGAATTGTTTCGTCATCTCTTTGTCAGCTCTGCAAGGGGTGAAAACTGTTGCAGCCTACTGCAGTTATGTTTAGATATATATATATGCATTTTGTAGCTCGTAATGCAACATTGAGTGTTAGCTGGAGTTCTGTTTGCTTTTTTTTTTTTCTTGTTTTTTTTTTTTTGGCATTTCGTCTTTTGAAGTTTGAATGGAATTGAAATGACTGAAAAGATTGACTGTGAACGGAATTTATCTGACCTATCTTTTTCTGATACTAGTTGGTCCTATTGTATTACATTTTTACTCTCTCGTGAGGAATTTTGTATTGCCTTTACTATTGTTTTAAAAGACTGTCCTACCTACAAAACTTAAAAAATCGACTCTGAACTTGTGTTTCTAATTTAAAGGTTGTTTGATTTATGTACTTGCTTTTCTTGTTTCTCCGAGTTCCTGTTAAGCATTTCCTTTTTTGTTTTTCAAAAGATGTTGCCTTGGCTTTTAGAAATTTACTGTTTACTGTTTTGTTTTAAAAAATGCCCTTGTATAATGACATCTGATTATTGTCGAGCAGTAATGTACCCTAAAGATAAAACTTTGTTAATGAAAGATGTACAGTGGCACCACAGTAGAATCCTGACAATAACAATTAAATTTTTAAATCCATAATTTTCTTATAGTATATATTGTAATAATTACCTTGGACAGTGATGACTATTGATGAAAAGCACAGGAATGCAGCATTTCAGAGCATCGGATAGGTTCCAATCTGGATCAGCCGGCAAACAGTATTTTGTCAGTCTGTACCTGGGTTAGTGTTAAGTGTGTTATGTGGACCAATCTGTTCTGAGACTTGCTTTCTGTTTCCTCACGGGCAAGTTTTTACTGGTCAGTGGCCAGGAGTTAATTTCATGAAAACGGCGAGAGCGAGATTTGTTTATGACGCCATGGGGGGCGTGGATCTAAGTTGATATGTGACCTTGAACAATGGTGCATGTTTTTTTGTTTTTTTAAAAATCTCTTTTCACCGAAATAAGTGTTCTCATCAAGACAAGGTTTTGTGGTTTCCAGAATCAGAAAATTTTGCCTGCGTCTTCAGCCACTTCTGCTAAATATATTGTGAATAGGTGAGACTTCTCTTTGTTTGAGATCAGAGGGTGGGTCAAGACTTTTGTTTACAGTTGTTTGGTAGTCCAGAGTATTGTTTAGTTTTTTTTGTAATGAGAAGCCTGTGCTTCAGCAAGGTTTTTCTTTCTTTTTGTTTTGTTTTGTGTAGAATAGAAAATGTGTGTTATCAGTAACCTAAGAAAATCAATTTTCTTTCCTTTTCTTCTGTAAAGAGAATATAATGGCAGCTGTATGTGTTGGCCAAGTGCCTGTCTAATGGGGAAGGGATTTAAGTGTCTTTTCCTCTTCCACAACCAATTTGTCTCCCTTGTTTATTTATTTTTTTTTCAAGTAATGAGACCATCAAGAACCCATACAAAGGATGTCACTTTTTGGCATATTTCGGAAAAAAAAAAAAAAAAAAATGCTTGACAGCCTACGTTTTTCCATAGCATTGCTTATTTTCCCAGCCTGATATAGATCTATTGGGTGACTTATCAGGTTGTAGCCCTAGACACTGATGGGACAGAAGAGGTGCACAAACACTTTCCAATCAATGTCACAACTCAAACTGTTATCCAATCCAAAAACGGATGTCGCTTGTTTTGCCCTTTTACCCTTCACAAATTTACCCATATTCCCAACAGGTCATGCTTCTTTCCATGGGAAGTTTGAGGAGAAATGGTAGTTGTTCTGTATGACCCTCTTTTGTCCTTAGGTCGGTGGACTGATTGCACACTCTTTAGAAAAACTGGTGGGTTTTCGTTGAAGTTAAAGTTTAAAAAGAAAAAAAGCTTTACAAAGAAAAGAAAGAATGAATGTTTCTAATGGCTAGCATGCTTATTATGATCCTTTTGATTTCTTTCATTTCGGATGTGTAGGAAAAATATTAATTCCACACATGTCGAGTGACATTGAAGAAATGATTAGGCCGTTATGGTTTCGTGTGTTTTTGCGCGTTGTGTTTTTTTGTTGGTATGATGTGTGCTTTCCAGTTAAAATTTGTAAATAACCAAGTTTAAAGTAATTTCCTCCCTTGTTTACTATGTAAACCTTTATTTTCCGCTTGGCACCACTTCCTTGTTGTAGGAGATGGATAGGAAGAACGAAAAGTTTTACGACTACTATTGTCTTTTAAAAGGAATTTTATATTCATTTGTAAAGTATACTTACGTGTAGTTGCCTGCTGTAGCTTCTGTTTAGTGGGTTTTTTGGGTTTTTTTTTTCCATTAGTGTTTTGTTCAACCTTTTTCTGCAACATGTAACCTTACTCCTATACGCCGAGTTTGATTGTACTAAAAATCCTGTGACTTTGACTAGTGAGGAAATGAAAAAGTGGTCAAATGCTGTGTGACTTGATAACAGACTTTTGACATGTGTTGATTAGATGTGCATCAGCCTAAGCGCAGGCCTAGAGGTTTGAGATAAATTGATATAGTCGGAAGTGTTTTTTAAGTGTCAAAGTAAGTACTTACTTCGATGAGGCAACTACAGCCAGTCAACAGAAAAAGAAGAAAGATCTTTCATCTTTTTCTACATTTAGATCCAAGGTACTCCGATTCACATTTCATGGTGATTTGATAAAGCCAGGTTATGCCATTTTGGTCGTCACATCATAATAACCTGACAGCTCATGTTGCTGCCATTTGATAGTGGATTGTTTTAGTTTGGCATGGGTTCAAGGGTGCTGTATAGCCCTCTTTTTCTCTAGATGCCCTCTTGTTGCACACTAGCTTCGGAGATTTTGTTCATTACAAACCCCCCCCACACTTTTTGCAAAGGTTTAAATTCAATGTAATAATGTTAATTATACAGCGTAGAAGTTAGATCTAAGTGACAATATGCTTTTCATTGTTAAAAGAAGTGAACTGTTCTGAATTCTTCTAGGTGGAAAACGGACAACAGCAGTGAAACAAGGGCTTCTCAGTCTCACGTTGGGTGCCGGCAAAAATGACTTCACAGATTATTTTGTTAGCTTTTATTCTATCTTCTCTGTTGTTTATAAAAATCTCACCTTGTTTCTCTAACCCTCTGAGGTTTCCCGTTGGAAATTAACCTGTTATATTTTTTGAAAGTGAACTTTATGAATGAGAGTGTTTACAGGAATATTGTTTATATCTTAATGTATTTACAAGATATATTCTTGGCATGTTTTTACATAAATTGCAAAATTATATGTTGAAATTTCAGAATGATTTACTTCTGTAAAATTTACTCCAAGAAGCAGAGAAAACAATAGTGGTGGTAAAAGTTAATTTATTATTTTTGTGGACATACATTCAGAAAAGCATAGGAAACTGCCGCACTTTCATATTGGTATATTGCACAAGGAAACTGGAAAAAAAAGATAATTTATTGTCATGAATATTCAGTAAATTCTGGGGTACACTATAACTTTCTCTCTCCCCCCCCGAACCACACACATACACACACACACACACACACACACACACACACTTTTATCTAGCTTCCCATCTGCTAGCACTGGTGTGACTTGTACTTTGAATGCTTAGTCTACTGATGTTTTGACTAAGTTGCACTTGTCGGTGAGTATTTCTCCCAAGATACCCATTGCTATGTGCAGTTGGGGATACACAAAGCCACTTTTTGTGTGTGTTTGTGTGTGTGTGTCTTACTGCTGGTGAGATTTCAGTCTGCTTTTCTAATCTACAGGCTTGTTATTACATTTCCAGACAGCAATATTTGCCTGTCGCGCATGTTCTAAGACTGAAGGGAGAAATCAAGATGTACAAATGTTGATGAATTCTTTGCTTTTTATTGTCTTGTTATCTGCTGTTGTATTATTCATATTATTTTTTTTTGCCCCACCCATTGTAAAACATCATTAATCATGCTGATGTTAAGGAATGTGGACCGTGCTGCCATATTTCAAGACTCGAGGGCTCAAAGGACGAAATACGTGTCATGTGTCGGTTGAGAAAAAGGGCTTAGGTATGGTATGATATGCCCATGTGTACATTTATTGAAATGTGGATCTGTACTGTATGCAAGGACATGTCACAATAATAATTGCTGAGCCGACTTGGATTTTTTGTGTGTGTGCGTGCGTGCAGAACATCCATGTTTTGATTGTGGATTGACCCCCCCCCCCCCCCCGGTCAGACGTATTGTTAACGATTAATTATCTTTTCAACTGGTCTGATATGTGGCCCGCCACGCTATTGTTAACAGTTATCTTTTTGACCGTTTTGTTCTGTGGCCAGACATATGATTGTTGTTAACATTGATCTTTTTAAAACTGGTCGTCCGTTTCTTGTCCTGGTGTCGAATGGTTTTGCTATGGTGAGCTAGGCGGACTGTGATGCTGTAGCTCCTCCGATGAG